AAGACCACCACTGCAAAGCTGAGGTGCAAGTGTAACAACCTGGAGAGGATGGAGAGGAGGTGAGAAGAGAGAGAGAGCTGGAGAAAGGGAGAGAAAGAGACGCATCAAAATCTGGCTAAAAAAAGGAAAGACGGGTAGAAGAGCTGAGGCAGAAGGCTTTGGAGAAAGAGAGGGGAGAGAGAGGAAGGGCAGAGGCATCATGAGGTGGAAAACCAGTAGGAGGAGGAAAGACTGAGGGAGACAGTTGTGATGAGGGAGACAGTTGTGATGAGGGAGACAGTTGTGATGAGGGAGACAGTTGTGATGAGGGAGAAAGTTGTGATGAGGGAGAGAACCACTTGGCCGTGAAACAGCAGGATAGATTGAGGGAGTTCGACAGACTCAGAGAGCTGGAGAGTCTTACCAACCTGGACAAGACCAGGTTTGTATGTATTGTCTGTATTTGCTTAGATATGTCTGTGTGTATGCTTGATGATGTGTTTTAATGTACGCACAGAGCCACAAACAAAGTCGTTGTCTTATCTAGCAGAAGATGACAGAGGAGAGAATGGTTGGAGAGGAAAGGCGACAGAGGAGGGAGAAAACCTGGGAAGAGATGTATCTGGAGTAGGTGCAGAAGGAGAACAAGAAGTGGGAGCTTGCTGTGACTGTGCCCGTGCTCAGGCTCATTGTCTGCAAGCCAAGCCTCAGGCCGACCTCACATCTGACTGTTGGCTCCAGACCCAGAATGACCCAGCTCTAGAGTCCGACCAAGATACCGAGCCCAACCAAGCTCCAGAGGCCACGATGGCTGCTGCTGAGGCCCAATGTGAGGTACTGGACATTGAGTTTGATGAGAGAGAATGTGTAGATGTAGATGTGGTTTACAGGGGAGGGATCATTCCCCTTGAAGAGCTCCAAGAGGCTAACAGCGGCTCCTCCAGGAGGCTGAGGACATGAACGCCAGGCCAAGGCCAAATCCTACGAAACTATTGACCAGCTGAAGAGGAACCCAAAGCCCTTCCTAGTGATATAGGAGGAGGGGAAAGAGTCCAGTGGCAATGAGTGCTCCAGCCTCAGTGGTGAGACTAAGGAGATGGAGGCACGTGCCAATGAGAAGGAGGGGAAGGACCTCAGAGAGGAGGAAGGAAGTGAAGAGCCCAAGAAGGAGAAGAGCAACGAAGGAAGGTGATTCGCTAGGTGAACGAAAAGGCTACCAGAAGAGGATTGAGCAAACCTATTACAATGAGGAGCAGAAAGGAGACAGAATGGTGTACTAGGGGGTGTATGACATCACCCGCACAGAGCAGGAGCAAAGGAACCGGGCAAAGCTGCTGAAGGCTGAACAGAAGTGGCAGAAGCTGGAGGACCGCTGGACAGAGTGGGAGAAGGAGAGGGCTTAGAAGAAAGAGGCCAGGAAGCTCAAAAAGAGGGAGAAGGAAGGTTCCAATTCTAGAGACAACATCAGGACATTGAAAATGACCAGGGTAAATATTGAGCTGAAAGGACATGGGAAAGTTTTCTGTGGGATTTACATCACTTGTAAGTTAAGTGTGACACAAATACTACAAGTGATATTTTGCTTTAACTAACTAGGCTAACACTCCTTTGCCCTTTCCTGACCTCCTGTTGTCCTTGTATTTTTCAACGTATGGTGTGCTAGGAGACTCTTATGGAATTCAACTCCAGACCACCTCAATACTCAAGTACCCCCCCCCCACACACACACACATGACCTTTAATTGATTTACTTCCGTTTTTTTTCCTCCTCTACTATCTTCTTCTTACTACTTAGTAGCAGTACTTCTAACTATTGTTTCTAAGAATGATTGCTAATTTGTGGCTAATGAAAGTCAATATAGCTAATTGTATTGTTTCTTTGTCTCTTTTGAGAAGCCAATTAACCAGACCTATTAGCATTGTCTCTACATGTCACATCTTACTGTAGAGTAGCATACAATCAATTGCCAAATTGACCTCATGGTAGGGCAGAAGGAATTATGCATTTTCAACGCCATGCTTTTGGTTGTCTACTACTTATGTCCTTTTTCATAATCATAGGGCCTTGGCGCCACCATGTGGCTTACACTACTCAGTGGCCAACACCATTTGCGCAAAAGTGCATCTACATTAATTTACCGAAGGGTGTCGCTGCAAGAACGCAAGTGGAAAATAAGAAACACGTTGCAGACCGTCATGTCCCAAAACCAACCCCTATCCAGCACTCGTAGATAAAGAACTGGGTGAGTGTAAACTAATTGTCTTGGGACTGGACAGTGGGCACAGGATTTGCAATATCTTGGCTTCATGGTTGCACGAGATTGCAGTACAATAGTTAGGTGACAATAAGGTATCACCCTCTTTTACCTATGTCACTCACCTGTGGAGTTCAAAATAATTTACAATAATAATAATAAGATATAACATGCTAATCGATAATAAACCATTACAATGTACCTACTGATCGCAATTGTAATGATGTCTTGTGTTGAACTTAATTTAAGCATTTTACATTTTAGTCGTTTAGCATACGCTCGTATCCAGAGCGATTTACAGTAGTGATGTAAGTATCTTGTTACCAGCGCCCGTGGACAAAGGACAATTCAGGTTCAGACAAGAAGGTCGCACATCAAGGCAAGTCTTTATATGTTAGTTTATTTTTATTTTACAGCCCTTTGGAATGGGGTATGGGTGAAACTTGTTATCAGCCTTGTAGGCAGAATATGTTATAGGGCTAGGCCTACTACAGTCTAGGACTGTGAAATGGAATATGGTGGTCCTCTATAGCTCAGCTGGTAGAGCACGGCGCTTGTAACGCCAAGGTAGTGGGTTCGATCCCCGGGACCACCCATACACAAAAAAAATGTATGCACGCATGACTGTAAGTCGCTTTGGATAAAAGCGTCTGCTAAATGGCATATTATTATTATTATTATTATTATATGCAGAGGAGGGATCATAGCTATAGGTCAATAGAACAACGCTCGAGTCAACTGTGTGTGTGTGAGAGAGATAGATTGCCTAGGATGCACAATAATGTGATGGGTTATCTGATCAAGTGTTGCAATTTCTAATCTATTTTTACTGTTATTATAGGGTGTAGCCTATGTCAAGGCCAGAAAGAGCAACCTACTAGGCAAAAACAGGCCTAGACATCCGGATGCTTTTTGCTTTTCGTAGCCTGTGACTGAGTCATTTGTGGATTGACAGACTGGAGGGGACTTCGGTACACAGTGGGAACGGACCATCGTCTTGACTTTCCAGAAGCAACAGTGTCAGAAACATAGTTCAAACCAAAAAAACCTGACCATGGGCGTGGTGTTTTTCATCCGGGGGAGTCCAAAAAATGTAGGCGCCGATGAATCACGGCAAAGCAATCCGTGTCGTTTCGGAAGAAATTAAACACAGGGCAGGTAGTGCAGCCAGTCAGTGCAGTCACTCTCAGCAGATAGGCCTACTCGTTGTTTAATCCGCCTCCAAACTCCTGGTCACCCTCATTGGGCGGCTCAGAGAAAGATGAGCTCATATTGGTTAAAAATAGTTTCACTCGTTGAGGCTAAAAATAACCCGCTATATAAAACAGAAGTTTGACTCCACGGCGTGCTACTACCAAGCTGGCCTCAGTCAGTGGAGGCTGAGGTGAGAACTGGATGAGAATGAAAATGCGGTGGCGGAAGGTTTTTCAGTTCTAGTCTCATGTCACGGCTCCTCTCAAGCCTTGCACAAGAAAGAGCGAAGCTGTGCAATACATCAGCCTTTCACGAGATGAGTGTTTGGGTGTAACCGGCTGAGTGCTCGGTGACGGGTTTCCTTCCTTTTTAGCAGCTGTGTCAGATTTTGCTGCCTCAATGGTTGTCCGTTTTTTTCAGTTGCAGCCTTGAAAGCAGACATTCGAAAAGCAGAATGACTTGTGCCAGCTTCTATTAAATTGTAATTTATAGGCCAATGGTCACAATGTAAGGGGCTAGAAACTTGACCTTCTTACTAACATAGCCTAATTGATTAATGTTCTACAATAATGTAATTTTATATAAAAAACAATCTGAATCCTTATTGACCTCCAGCACTCTCAAAAAGTGGCCCTCCAAAAATCCTACCTGGTACAGCCAGAGGGGACTGGTCACCACTGAGCCCGGGTACACTATGTTTCTTCCTTCTAGGTTTTTTTTTCCTGGCCACTGTGCTTCTGCATTGCTTGCTCTTTGGGGTTTAGGCTGGGTATCTGTTAAGCATTTTGTAACAACTTCTGATCTAAAAAGGGCTTTGTAAAATAAATTAGATTGTTGTCAGGTAGTTCTCAACCTTTAAGATCTCAGAAAAACATCCTCACTCCAGTGCAGTCATTCAATTCCCACACCACAAAAAAGGAAATGTGTTAAAGAATGTAATTTATTACACAATGTAACGAAGGCTAGTTTAAAAATACAGTTTCCAGTCATGTAAGTGTACATATGAATATACCCACGCCTTATATTTACAGATTTGCATACACCATGTTTTCCTGTTTATTTGTTTCAACACTTACTTTAGGGTTTCACATCCAAAAACTAAAAATGATTTGTACATAACAGAGACTACAATTTAAAGCAGTTATTAGCCCTGTTTGTGTTCCAAACAAACAAACTGAAAGCAGCCAACACATGGAGTCCAGACAGGCAGAGCACTTGACTGGCAGTCCAGAGGCCAGCCCTTCTCCGACCGGCCCAACGACAGCATTTGGAAGGTGAAAGATTTCAAGGTAAAGCGTTTTAAACAAAAAGCAGTCCCGGGTTCTCCCCTCACCGTAAATACTGATAAATGTTTTCCATTACTTTTAAAAAATAAGATGAGTTAAAAAAAAAAAAAAAAAATTACAAAAATCTACGTTCAGGGATCATCTCCCAAAGCAAGGAGACAAGCTCCAGCGGCCGGCGAGTGTGAGGGGGCGGAGGAGGGGTCAGGTGGGATGTAAACGGGTGCTTCTCCGACCACACACTTGCCAGAGCCCCTGGTACAGGGGTAGGGTCCTGTCATGCAGTCTACAGCAGGAGACATTTATTGCTCTTCTTGCCCCTCCGGGCCTGTAGTGCCGCCCTGGTGGCCATCTCAAACACATCTCGTACGCCATCCTTCGACTTGGCTGAGCACTCCATGTAGCCGTACGCTCCAATCCTGTTGGCCATGTCACGGCCCTCCTCTGGCTTCACTGGCTCCTACAGAGAGAGTTAAGAGAGACTGTCAGGACAACGAATACACTGACCATATAAATGGGGAAAGAGTGATAGATACAGTTGAATGGTAAATGCCAGGGATGGGCAACTGGCGGGCCCTTTTTAAGGCCCTCGTATCAATTGTCTGATTCTCTGTAATAATGGTATGGGAATAATAATGCATTTTATTTTGTAAAGTGGTTTCTTGCATCAAACAACATTTTGAGTCACCTCCTTGTCTGAAGGACAAGTGGATAAACAGGTTAATGTCAAGCCCTGCACATTTTTTCCAAATGTTTCATGGAATGTAGACCTACACTGAACACCACACATTGGCTGCTACTGTAGGCTGAATGATAGAACAGCAATTTCCATGTTAAAATGTTATGGGATGCATTTTTTCTATTGTTTTTGATGGTAGGCAACTCTGGTAGGCCTAGATTATGATCAAATAGCCACAGTAGCCTACTTGGCAACTTAAAACTTAAAGCGGGTACAGCCTCAATGTTCACAGTAAACGTGCACTGGAAGTTGCACAGAATTTTCACAACGTTCAAGTTTGCGCTCAGCAGACATGAAATTTGGTCCGTATGGGAAAAATGTTGAGGGAACTTTGCCGGGGGGCCCATAGATTTTTTTTAGTAAGTCTCACTCAGATATAATATAAAAAACTGCAAACATTTCTCTCCACCCTGTAGCAAAATGTGTAGAATTGCAGGAAATTGGCTCTAACCATCATGTTCCTCTTCACCTCATGGCAAAATGAGTAGAATAAATTAAATTTGTTATAAAATTGCTAAATCGTCTCTTCGCCCTATGGCAAAGTGTACAATTGCAGCAAACTTGCTTTAAAACTAACATTTTTCTCTATACTCCATGACAAAATGTGTAGAATTGCATGAAATTAACTCCAAAACATCAACAATTTCTCTCCGCTGTCAAGAGGGGGGCCACTAAAATGTTTTGCTCACAATGTTGGGGGGATGGATGTGGGTATGCAGAACCCCGAGCAACTGTGGTCCCCCGTGAGGAGTTCAGATTTTTTGTGTCCCCCCACCCCCATCAAAATTGCCTATCCCTGATCTAGGCCTAGAGTGAGTTTCCCAAAACCTTTATAGCCAACGCGGCACTTTATTTCTCAACCCGGTTTGTTTTTCCATCTGAGAAGTTGGTGGAGAGGGGAAATATTGGTGTTATTTCTACGTACCTGTTTCATCTTGGCCAGCTCGCGGCGTGTGTGTTCATCATTGCGCAGGTCCTTCTTGTTGCCTACGAGGATGATGGGAACATTGGGACAGAAGTGTTTGACCTCGGGAGTCCATTTCTCTGGAATGTTCTCTGTAAAAGAGCAAAAGGTTGGGGGTCATACAGGCACACACACCAATGCCCCAGTACGTTATGCCAGCTGTAGGTAGTGTACAGAGGGTTGGAGAGAAGAGCTATTGCTGTCTTATGCTTGTGTGAGTACTTCACTAGCCAGAATGGGCTGAACAAACCACCTACATTCCCGTAATGGCAACGGACATAAAAGGAAACTGTGTGCTGATGATGGTAAGACAGAGAGCAAGTCTGAGTGCGTGTGAGCTCACCCAAACTGTCTGGGCTATCAATGGAGAAGCACATGAGGATGACGTCAGTATCGGGGTAGGAGAGGGGGCGAAGCCTGTCGTAGTCCTCTTGGCCAGCTGTATCCCACAGAGCCAGCTCCACCTAGTACAGAGTAGACAACCACCACTGTTAATCCACATAGGGCCAGACGTGCAAAAAAAATCTCTATACAGTTGAGGATTGTGATACTTTATGGACTTGCTATACATATAGAACTGCAATATGTATCAAATCGTGACCTTGTTTTGAAACCGGGGGCGTACTACCCGAATCCAATATATCTATCATTCATCTTCAAAGACTGCCCATTTCAGTTTTCCATTTAAAAAATATTTCCTGTTTAGTGCCTGCTGAGCAAGAACATGGTGCTGCCCTATTACCTCCCAAAAAACATTTGCTCAAAGTGGCAAGTGTATGGCAGCTGTTAGTGTTCTAGTGACTGGGTTTATCAGTAAACCCACGGCAACAGAAATAAATCATACATATACCATCTATATAAACATAACGTAAATGTAAATTCAACAGTTAATGATGTCTGCATACTGCAGACTTTCATGAACCCACAGCACATTGTTTGGAAAATCAGGATAAATGGATATTGGTTTTGGGGGTAGGTCAACTTCAATGACTAATGAATAGAGGAGGATGTCAGAAAAACACAAAACTCTTTGAACATGGATAACTGAACATTTCATGAAGGCATTCATAACTCTGACACTAAAGGGAAAAAATAAAACTCACAACCAAGAAGGGCAAGTGGGGAAAGCAAATTAGAGCAAGACACTTCGACAAGTATGGCACATGAAGTAGAATTCATTTAGCCAATAAAAACTAGGCTAGATGTCCCAGATTTCTAGTCGAACCATATTGAGGACAGGACACATGGGTTTATAACCCCCTCGGACCTCTATCTAATAAAGCGCCATACGGTCGTACATTACAACTTTAGATTACATATTCATTACATTATTCAGTAGCATATGCTGCGCCTAATATGTTTATATTACTTGGTCAACTGAATAAACATGTGCTGTGCCATTATACCCGTCTGCCTCTATAGCTACAGATAAATCCAGCTCAATCTCAACCAGCCGATACCAGCAATGCCACCCTTGAACACACCAACACTGAAGCCACCTTCAAAACCTACTAGCAATTAGGCCTATGTATTTCACCTAACCTGGTTTACACCTTCAACTGAGAAATAGACAGTGTGTATGTTGCGTCTGTATGCATTACCTGCTTGCTGTCCACCTCGATGTCAGCCACATAGTTCTCAAAGACAGTGGGTACGTAGACCTCGGGGAACTGGTCTTTACTGAAGACTATCAACAGACAGGTCTTCCCACAAGCACCATCTCCCACGATCACCAGCTTCTTACGAATAGCCGCCATGCCTGAGAAAAGGGAAGTAAGATGCATGAAGAAACACAGGCAAGACAACAGCCTCATATTGAACAGGTTTTCATAACGTTTGTGGCCCCATAGGATCAGTGTGATGATTGACTCGACACTTCAACACAGCCAAACTTGTATCCTTGAATGATTTCCCCCCAGTGGGGCATATTGGGGGAAAACACTGGCCTTCAGCACCAGCAGAGGTTAAGGGATAGTTTACTTTTATATTAAAACAGACTGGGTAAGTCTATCAGTGTCCTACCATTCCCTGCCTGTGCAGAGATCAACAACCAATGTTAACCAACCAGGCTGTTGATCCAGAACAAACTGCAGATGTGGTGTATATCCTACATCTGACGCTGGTAATCCTCACCAATAACCGTTAAGTGAGTTTCCTCATGTAAATATGTGGGCAAGGAATTTGACAACAAAGAGGAGGGAGAGAGAATGATGCCATCCATTTAGTTATTGGATTGCTGCTCAGGTTAAACTAGTTGTTGAATGTTATGATAACAAGTCAGGACCCACAATGAATGGAAAACATGTCCAATGTATTTTAGACTGAGGGACATGTGTGGGTCGTGAGGGACGTGTGTCCGACCGGACCACACATGTCCAACGTATGTACCACACAGAACGCACTGCAAATGCCTCTGCAATGCAATTAGCCATGCAGTGTTCCATTGGAAATTAATTTACTTCTGGTGTACCAAAACTCAATGACCGAGGCGTTAGCTTCTACCACGGCATGGTGTCCACAGGGTTGGTAGTCAAAAGATGGCTTGACAGAAATGGTAGCAGACGGTGAATGTTGAACTTTTGTTGCACCCATATCCAGATGATGCTGCCTAGCTACCATTTTGCGCATTAACACTATTGGTGTGATCGAGGGGTATTTATGTCACGCAGTATCCTAGTGATAATTGGTGTGATGTCCCTATTAACCACAAGAGCAGTGCAATGAAGTTCCTCACATACAGGACAGAATACGACACCGTCATGCAGATTTTAGTTTATTGGCTGACCAGACATCAATTCCGACTATTTAGGATGGACAAGCATTTAAGTAGCTAGATACTATAGCTAAGTACATTTGCCTATAGGTTGGGTCATTAAAATGTTCAGTAAGATGGCGTCAAGACATCAACAGATCGCTGCTGTCCGCAGTAATAAGGTCGGCCCCATTAAAAAAAAAACTAACTTCAGCTCACCACCAGCTAAACAGCGTCTGGTCACAGAAGTAAAAAATTGTCAAAACTAGCTAGTTATTTAGAACAAAGAGACTAACGTTAATACTGGCAATTCATGGGCCGAGCTGAGCCACCCAATCAGATCTAAACAAATGGTGTTTGATAGGTAACAGTTAGCTAGCTAAAAAGAGTAGCTACCGTAGCTAGCTAGTTAGAACCTGCTTCCAGGATTGCACGTAAAAGTAAAAAAAAAAAACAGTAACTACAGTAGTAACTACTTGGAAGAAAACCGTTAATTGGTCAGAATATGGTCGTGTTGATGATCGATAACGTTAGATGTTGGCTAGCTTGGTCAAGTGAATTAGCTAACGTAATTGTTACGTTACCTCGCAACAAACTGACACGCCGGTTTGTTTCAAATACTGACTTGCTACTGTACCAAGTTACCTTGTGGGGATACGTTAGTTACATGGGCGAGATTCGGCGATTCAATTAATTTTAGGATAAAAACTTTGTGACAAAACAATGGAGCTTATTTGTCAACAGTGTTGGATAACTAACCAGTTGGCTGTCAGTGCGGAAGCTATCGAGGACGTCCTCGGCTCGATTAGAAAAGCTAGACAGACGACGGTAAGGGACAACTTTCTAACAATGTATCCTACAATTACACTCCACCAATGTTGTCATATTAAACTTTTATTGCGATAAGTGTTTCGAAATTAGTTTTACCTGTTGTTTAGATGGCTAGAAGTCGTTTTCACAGGGCAGTGGTACTTCGTCGATAACCCTCGTTTCAATCCGATACAATGAATTACTTCGCGTGTACGCGAAAGGGCTAGGGGGAGGGGTGGCGGAAACGAGCGTGAGCCACGCCTGCGCGTGCACGTTGCATGAGTAAAGTATTTCTGCCTATACGTCTCTCCGTTTGAGTGTCGGTTTCGATGAGCATCCAACAGTTTTTTGGGGTTGTTGATATAAAAGCTAGCTAAGTGTATTCAGAAACATTTCCACACCAAATAGGATGCAAGAAAGGACCCAAGGAGTGAATAGTATTCTGCCAGCAGCACAAACAATGACGTCAGGATTGTATGGTAATATCTAAACCTTCAAAATAAAAGCCCATATTTCTAAACATTGCAATATGGATAACTAATTCAAACGATATACATTTTTTTTAATCAATGGCCACCTTTATTGTGCCAGCAAGAAAATGCAATAAGTAATTTAAGATATTTAATTTTTTAACCAATAATGAAAAATATATAATGTTGACACTGGTAGAGATATGTTGACAACATTGGGCTGTAGATAACTTTTTTTTACCTGTCTCAGCTAAGGTGGGGTGGGAAATACTCAGCACTCCCCTGTAGCTCAGTTGGTAGAGCATGGCGCTTGCAACGCCAGGGTTGTGGGTTCCTTTCCCACGGGGGGCCAGTATGAAAATGTATGCACTCACTAACTGTAAGTCGCTCTGGATAAGAGCGTCTGCTAAATGACTAAAATGTAAAAGTAGGGTATAACCAAATATGGTTAGTTTTGGAGGGGCGCTGTGTTGTAGACATATTATTTTAGTCCTGCATGTTATACTAATTCCAAAACAATAAATGAATGTACTGTTGTTGTGTTGAATATCAGTTTTTTTTTTGCTTGCTCTGTGTGAAATAAAGTCTAAACAAAGACAAAGACACAATGTAAACAGTGATGTACTGGCATACCTGTTAACGACCTAGATTAACCTAACGGTGATGGTAATAGCTGCACCTTTTCACATTTAAATCAGCCTAAGGCCAGCCTTGACATGTGCCCAATTGCTTGGCCTGACAAAATATCCTTGTACGACGCTAGCGGAAGTTTACGTACACCTTAGACAAATACATTTAAACTCAGTTTTTCACAATTCCTGACATTTAATCCTAGTAAAAATTCCCTGTTTTAGGTCAGTTAGGATCACCACTTTATTTTAAGAATGTGAAATGTCAGAATAATAGTAGAGATAATTATTTATTTCAGCTTTTATTTCTTTCATCACATTCCCAGTGGGTCAGAAGTTTACATACACTCAATTAGTATTTGGTAGCATTGCCTTTAAATTGTTTAACTTGGGTGAAACATTTCGGGTAGCCTTCCACAAGCTTCCCACAATAAGTTGGGTGAATTTTGGCCCATTCCTCCTGACAGAGATGGTGTAACTGAGTCAGGTTTGTAGGCCTCCTTGCTCGCACACGCCTTTTCAGTTTTGCCCACACATTTTCTATAGGATTGAGGTCAGGGCTTTGTGATGGCCACTCCAATACCTTGACTTTGTTGTCCTTAAGCCATTTTGCCACAACTTTGGAAGTATGCTTGGGGTCATTGTCCATTTGGAAGACCCATTTGCAACCAAGCTTTAACTTCCTGACTGATGTCTTGAGATGTTGCTTCAATATATCCACATAATTTTCCTTCCTCATGATGCCATCTATTTTGTGAAGTGCACCAGTCCCCCCTGCAGCAAAGCACCCCCACAGCATGATGCTGCCACCCACGTGCTTCACGGTTGGGATGGTGTTCTTCGGCTTGCAAGTACCCCCCTTTTCCCCCAAACATAACAATGGTCATTATGGCCAAACAGTTTGATTTTCGTTTCATCAGACCAGAGGACATTTCTCCAAAAAGTACGATCTTTGTCCCCATGTGCAGTTGCAAACCGTAGTCTGGCTTTTTTATGGCGGTTTTGGAGCAGTGGCTTCTTCCTTGCTGAGCGGCCTTTCAGGTTATGTCGATATAGGACTAGTTTTACTGTGGATATAGATACTTTTGTACCTGTTTCCTCCAGCATCTTCAAAAGGTCCTTTGCTGTTGTTCTGTGATTGATTTGCACTTTTCGCACAAAAGTACGTTCATCTCGAGGAGACTGAACGCGTCTCCTTCCTGAGCGGTATGACGGCTGCGTGGTCCCATGGTGTTTATACTTGCGTACTATTGTTTGTACAGATGAACGTGGTACCTTCAGGCGTTTGGAAATTGCTCCCAAAGATGAACCAGACTTGTGGAGGTCTACACATTTTTTTCTGAGGTCTTGGCTGATTTCTTTGGATTTTCCCATGATGTCAAGCAAAGAGGCACTGAGTTTGAAGGTAGGCCTTGAAATACATCCACAGGTACACCTCCAATTGACTAAAATTATGTCAATTAGCCTATCAGAAGCTTCTAAAGCCATGACATCATTTTCTGGAATTTTCCAAGCTGTTTAAAGGCACAGTCAACTTAGTGTATGTAAACTTCTGTCCCACTGGAATTGTGATACAGTGAATTATGAGTGAAATAATCTGTAAACAATTGTTGGGAAAATTATTTGTGTCATGCACAAAGTAGATGTCCAAACCGACTTGCCAAAACTATAGTTTGTTAACAAGACATTTGTGGAGTGGTTGAAAACGAGTTTTAATGACTCCAACCTAAGTGTATGTAAACTTCCGACTTCAACTGTATATTTGGGGAGTTTCTCCCATTCTTCTCTGCAGATTCTCTCAAGCTCTGTCAGGTTGGATGTGGAGCGTCACGGCACAGCTATTTCAGGTTTCTCCAGAGATGTTCGATTGGGTTCAAGTCCAGGCTCTGGCTGGGCCACTCAAGGACATTCAGAGACTTCTCCTGAAGCCATTCCTGCGTTGTCTTGGCTGTGTGCTTAGGGTCGTTGTCCTGTTGGAAGATTAACCTTCGCCCCAGTCTGAGGTCCTGATCGCTCTGGAGCAGGTTTTCATCAAGGATCTCTCTGTACTTTGCTCAGTTAATCTTTCCCTCGATCCTGAATAGTCTCCCAGTCCCTGCCGCTGAAAAACTTCCCCACAGCATGATGCTGCCACCACCATGCTTCACCGTAGGGATGGTGCCAGGTTTCCTCCAGACGTGATGCTTGGCATTCAGGCCAAAGAGTTCAATCTTGGTTTCATCAGACCAGAGAATCTTGTTTCTCATGGTCTGAGAGTCCTTTAGGTGCCTTTTGGCAAACTCCAAGCTCGCTGTCGTGCCTTTTACTGAGGAGTGGCTTCCGTCTGGCCACTCTTCCATAAAGGCCCGATTGGTGGAGCGCTGCAGAGATGGTTGTCCTTCTGGAAGGTTCTCCCATCTCCACAGAGGAACTATGGAGCTCTGTCAGTGACCATCGGGTTCTTGGTCACATCCCTGACCAAGGCCCTTCTCCCCCGATTGCTCAGTTTGGCCGGGCGGCCAGCTCTAGGAAGAGTCTTGGTGGTTCCAAACTTCTTCCATTTAAGAATGATGTAGGCCACTGTGTTCTTCGGGACCTTCAATGCTGCAGAAATTTTTTGGTACCCTTCCCCAGATCTGTGCCTCGACACAATCCTGTCTCGGAGCTCTACGGACAATTCCTCATGTGTTGGTTTTTGCTCTGACATGCACTGTCAACTGTGGGACTTTATATAGACAGGTCCAATCAATTGATACACCACAGGTGTACTTCAATCAAGTTGTAGAAACATCTCAAAGATGATCAATGGAAACAGGATGCACCTGAGCTCAATTTCGAGTCTCATAGCAAAGTGTCTGGATACTTATGTAAATAAGGTATTTCTAAAAACCTGTTTTTGCTTTGTCATTATGGGGTATTGTGTGTAGATTGAGGACAAACATTTATTTAATCAATTTTCGAATAAGGCTGTTACGTAACAAAATGTGGAAAAAGGTCAAGGGGTCTGAATACTTTCTGAATGCACTGTAGTCAGTCCAACAAAACAGCTGTAGAGTATCAGAGACGGTGTTAACTGCTCCATCTAGTGGCACCTTTGACAGGCAAGCAAGCAGCACCCTAAATATATATCAGCTGAATTGAACTCTACTACCTACCTACCTACCTACCTACCTACCCAGTGTTGCAAAACGTCAATTTATTGTTACATTTCATACAATCAGATTTTATTTCATGTAGAGATAAATAAATATCTGAAACTAAATAGAGGAGTCTGCGCAATGGCCACAGTACAAAGAGAAACACATCATTAGTGGAAATTCAAGGAACCTGTCTGGTGAAAACCAAACTTTGAGTCACCTTCACCAACAAATTAAACAGAACTGCATCAACCAACCCTTGAGCCACCTTCACCAACAAATTAAACAGAACTGCATCAGTATTGGCATCATTCACCACATCTTAACATTTCAAACCTCATAAATAAAGAGTTAAAGATTCAGAGTGCAGATCTTATCTTAACCAACATTCAGAGACGTGACACAGATAAATAGTGGAAAAAAGGAGAAACCAGAAAGAAACAACAAGAGATTTCGACAAAATGTTCCCTGGGGAGAAGAGAGTCTGTCAAGACTGCATCAGTGGCTGTATTGCTCTGTCATTGTCAAAAGCTGCTGAACTTTGTCAGGCCAAACCACCAATGACAGGAAACCACTGTGTACAACATCTAGTCCTCTACCTCTCCCTGTTACACACTCATTCAGATAAAAACAAACAAAGAAAATAAAACTGGCTGGCCAGAAAAACTAATGATTCTGACAGAACTCAAATCAACAGTATGAACAAAAAGGAAGCTAGACTCACACACCTTTATTATATTATGGCCATGGTTCCCCCTCTAGTAATCCAACTCCGACTTCAGAGCAAAAGTAAACCACTCAAAACAGGAACAGGAAACACATCATCATCATCCACAGAGCAACTTGTCCAATTATCAGGTGTCCCATAAATGTTGGAAACATTTGAAAACAGAAGATGTAGCAGTGGTAAAACAGCTGGGGGGTAAACCTAGACCTACAGTTGCAGCCAAATATATTGTCACCCTTGCACTTCAATTCCCTATTTGTTCTAAAATAAGTTGAAATTGAAAAAAAAGTTAGGTCTCCACACATTGTTATTGGATTTTCAACATTGCAGAACCAATTGTATTTTTGTAAACTTAAGTTTACCATTTTAACTTAGAAAATAAAGACAAATGGCATGGACAAATTTATTGGAGCTAGAACTCGGTCAAGATACATTTCAACAAATGGATCATCATTGATGTGATTCAGATCTGGACTATTCACTGGCCACTCTAGAACAGTCCAGCGTTTCTTCTTGAACCATTCCAGGGTCCTTTTTATGTGTTTGTGGTTGTTGTCCTGCTGGAAGATACACAACCTTCAACAAAGACACTGGGTTGAACATTGCACTCCAAAACACCTTGATAATATGCTGATTTCCTGATGTCCTGCAGCAAAGCAACCCCACAGCATTATCGGACCTATTTTCTTTGAATGCTTAATTTGGTCGTTGGTAAACATACGAAGACCCCACTGCTGAAGGAGACAAAAAAGCCTGTTTGAACTTTTCAAAAACCAACCTAAACAAGCCTAAATCCTGGGGAAAGGTTCTGTGGACCAATGCAACAAAATCGGAGCTCTTTAGCAATACAGATCAGTGCTGTGTTTACTGATGACCAAATGAAGCATTCAATGAAAATAACACCCTCCCTACAATCAAAGATGGGGGAGGTTTGGTAATGTTGTGGGGTTGCTTGAAATCAGCAGATTATCAGGTGTTTTGTAGTCCAATGTTCAACCCAGCGTCCAAAAAATGGGTCTCCACTGAAAGTTGTGGGTCTTCCAGCATAACAACCCCCCACACACACATCAAAAAGCACCCAGGAATGCTGGACTGTTCTGAAGTGGCCAGTGAAGAGTCACATCAAAAACCTATTGGCGAGATCTGAAAACAGCAGTTGGTGGAGGGCACCTCTCAAATATTGAAGAACTAGAGCAGTTTGCTGCTGAAAAGCAGGCCAAATTGTCATCAGAAAGGCTCATTGATGGCTATAAGAAGTGTTTGTCTGCAGTTATCTTGGCCAAAGGTTCCCAATATCTTTGTCCATGCCGTGTCTTTATTTTCTAAATTAAAACTAAACAAGTCAAATTGGTTCTGCAATGTTGAAAAACCAATAACAAGGTGTGGTTACTATTTTTGTTTGTTTTTAATTTCAACTTATTTTAGAAGAAATAGGGAATTATTTAAGAAAAGTGCAAGGGTGCCAATATATTTGGCCATAACTGTATTTCAGTCTTTCAGTGATGGAGAGAAGAGAGAAAAGAAAGATGTCAAAGTCCTTGAAGACTAAACACCAATCAGCACAAAAGGATGACCTAGAAACCCACTGAGAATCTGCATCCGTCTGCTGAAAGCTTGCTCTGGGACAATAAGAACACACAGAAACAGATGGGGAGTTTGCAAAGAGTCTCTGCTCCAGTCGTAGTGTCTCAGACACAAGGTGTGGGAGTCAGACGAGCAGCAGGTGTGGAGCAGGTGTCTCGGGTCAAAATAAGTTTGATTACAAAACACTTTGTACACCCATTCAATCGTTTATTCAGGAGAGACGTGACGAACTAGGGAGAGACCAATGTGTTTCTACATTGCATTAAAGTTTCAATGGACATATGCAGGTGGGGCCAGGAGAGCAACGGGTCCTTGATGGTATCTGTGTACAACTTCGGAGAGTCAGAGCATAAAACTGATAAGCCTGACAATGTGTCAAAAACTGCTAGTGTATGTATGTAGTCAAAACTTAGTATGGCTGAGTGTGTATCAGTGTGTCTGCTATGAGCTGGAGGGGGCGTCTTCAAAGCTGATGATGCTGGACTCCTGTCCCGTGGTGTTCTGGGAACCACTAGACCCCCCTGCTGGCAAGGTTCTCTCCTGTCCAGAGAGCAGCGGGGTGTCGGTCCGAACCTCGTCCTCATCGTCGTCCTCTTCGTCGTCCATGCTCGGCCAGGCCGACTGGTCCTCCACCTTCTTCAGTCGCTCGTTCAGGGCCTTCAGCGCCAACTGCCTGTAAGACAATCAGAAAGAATCAGTTATAAATGTTTGCATTACATCATGGTATAGCAGGTGTCTCGGAGTCCCTTTCAAACAGCCACTGATCCTCTCCAGGTGCAGAGCGAGGTGATATGTAGGCCTAACTGCAGTCTATGTAACTGACGACAAATAGTGTATGCATGACAGCTTGCAAGTGTGTCAGCCACATAATGAAGGTCAACAAATATTGGGGTGTGTGCTGTAATGGATCCCTGTGTGTGTTTATTTGGGCCTCTACAGCACTCACCTCCTCCTCTCTGCGTCTTGGGGGTCCGCCCCCGGCAAAGTGATGGTGATGGAAGAAGGTGCCCCGACGTCATAGCGCTTCACCATCTTCCTGCATACCCTGATCTTCACCAGGGTTGTGTGCACCAGGCCAGCCAGCAGCCCCACCAGCGGCTGCACCGCTTCAGGGAAGAAGGATGCAAAGGCAAAGTGGTCTGACATGTCCCCGCGGCCCCGGCTGTGCCTCTGGTAGAAACGAAGGTAGACCCAGCCTGCCAGGGCGCCAAAGCTGTAGGCCGCCAGAGGGGCAGCACTCTCCAGGAGGCCTGAGAGGCGGAGCAGGGCCAGGCAGAGGAGGACCAGCGCCGGGGCCGCTTTGAGCCTCACCTGTGGAACCCGCAGCACCGTTGTGTCCCCCATGGTCTGCTTGAGGGCCACCAACACGCCCCCGAGGAAAGCTGGTGCCCCATGGACCCGCACAGCAAACAAGTAGTCCAGGTCGAAGGTGGCGACGTACGTGAGTAAGTAGGAGAGGCCCGTCAGGAGGCCTGCAGAGATGTTGACCACAGCGAAAAATATTAGCATCTCCATGGCACCCCACAGAGGTTCCAACAGCCGGCCACAGGCCATGACAGTCCCAACATTGGCCGCCACCCCCCACACATGCTGCTCCACCACGGCATGGGTCACCAAGGTCCAGATCCAGAAGTTAGGGGGGAAGAGGTAGCCAGGCGTCACGCCCAGGGCGTATGGAGTGTCAACTGCCCATGAGAGCACATACAGAAGGAGCACAAAGGCACATATGGACTTCACCACAACACTAGTGTTGGATAATGCGCCCAAGAAGTGCTGTCTTGCAACTGGCAGATAGCGATTCATTGTGTCGTTTGTCAGTCTAGCGCAAGGTCCGATCAGTACTTTTGTATGACCCGCAGCTGCTCACGTGTTGGTCGTTAATCAGCAGTGCCAAGAAGAACAAACATAATCTGCAGATCCAGACAACATCCACTCTCGACAGTGAGGCTTCATAGGGGAAATAATCTGATTGATCAATGCTAATGAATGGTTTAAATTAACCTTTAATGGTCTCGCTGTTCAAAACACATGATGGGGTAACTTTCCTACCTTGCTATGACCTTTTATAGTCGCCGAACTGAAGTGACCTTACTAGTGTGATTAGATATTAAGAGTAGGTAACTGGGCTAATTTACTAAACTAACAGATTTAGTAACCCGTCAATTACTCTCAATTGACACCAAACGGTGTCATACTCGAAGCTTACATACATCACAAATATTAAATAGCTACTGTACTTTAGAAAAATACCAAGAACTTCAACCAACTAGCAAGCACTGGAATAAGTTTCTAGTAAGCTAAATTAGCTAGTTAGTTATTGCTAAGTACTAGTAACTGGCTAGGGAAAGAATTCTGACAGTTTGTTACGATGTTTTATATCTGCCATTCGAATTCATAAGATGACCAGTCAACATTTGATTAATGGGTTTGAGTTGTATAACTACAAAAACGATAACAATTAGTAACAGCGCCTTTCTTGTTTTCCTCCGCCCAGAATTCACCGCTAGCTAGCTACAGTAGCTCGAGTATTTCCTGTAACGTTAGTTAGCAGGAGCTACAGGCCTTCAAAACAATGTTGTCGAGGTGATCAACAATCGGAGATTCACGCGAAATTCATTGTCTTCACGATTTCGGAAAGTCTATTCGGTTACGTCAACGTTATTCCGATATAAAGTCACAGATTATTGGCGAATATTTGTTATCTTGTGAGGCATTTCCCACACTGATCAAATACTGAATCTTGGGCTCACTGCCACCGTCACCAACACACGAAGCGTCACGCCAGCGTCATGAACTGGAGCACTATGGGAAACATATTTTTTTTTTTCTTCTTCTAATTCTTCTTCTTCATTATGGTGGTCCGCAAATAAATGTTATAGGTGTATGCCACCACCTACTGTATTGACTGTGTATCAGCCTACTATTCTGCTGTATGAATTCATTGCACAAATATTGCCTTACCAACTAACCCACACCCATTAAAACCTCATCACTATTCCACTACTTTTGCCCCATTTGATCCTACACCAGGCAAGCAGCCTTGGACACTATTGTTCAAAACACCTTGTAATTCTTCCACAGTAAAATCTCGTACACCCAAGTACTTCTCTACAGCTGCTACCACAACATCTATCCTCTGTGATTTACATTCCATTCCTGCAGTACAGTTGACCACCATGGCCATGAACGCCAAAAAAAAAAACTTACTGAAGCACATGCTATTCCTATCACTCTCTATTGGCCTCGGCCCACTCACAGGGATCCTTTTAGGATCCCTCATCCTGGACCCATCTTCCTCTACTACTCTCCACTGCCTCAGCATACTACACCTTCTGTACTACTCTGATCCTGGCAACCTCAACCTGCCTTTCTCTCACTGGATACCTCTGATCTCCAGCACCATGGATACCCCTACAGTTTACACATACAACTTCTTCCACAGATACTACACCTTCCTTTGTCTCAAGTCCTCCTGCACATTTCTCACATCTAGGAATCTCCCTCCTACACACTGCTGCCACATGACCATAAGCTTGACACCTAAAACACCATAATGGGTTCGGGACAAAAGCTCTCATCGGATAACTGACAAATCCCAACTTTACTTTAGACTCTGCATCAAAACTCAATACTACAGACAGTGTCTTCTCTGTTTCACCACGCTCTCCACCGGGTCTGCGTCGCATCAAACGGCGGGCGTCACAGACACCGGGAATCTTCAACTTCAGTTGACCCTCCTCAACACTTAACTCCACTCCAGTTATCACTCCTTTCAACAGGGCCCTGCTCCGGAGAGGAAAGCAAGTCACAGTTATTGGCCGCAGTTGCGTGGTGCGGAGCGCATGCTTTCTCTGGATGGCAGAAACACAAAAAATCGACACGATTCCACTTCAAGTCACTTTCACCGACCAACATTCCCCAACCTCATATCCACCCAACCTGACACCACATATGGATCAGCCAGAAGGTAAGGATCCATTCTCTCCCAAAATCTCACTCCCACTGGGCAAAAATCATCCTCACTCTCGTCATGTTAAATGTCCTTTTGCAGCACTCCATATTTACTCTTAATATGTTCCACTTTCTTCCTTTTTTCCCTGCCCGTCTTCTTACCGACCTCTATGGGTTCCCCTGACTCCATCTTCAAGTCTGACAACCATTCGGTTGTACCCGCCATCTTGTTCCACTCGCCAGAAACCTGTTCACCCTCCTTGAGCTCCATGTGGTAAGGCGGCCTATAGATGGGTTAGCTGACAATATCACGAAAACGTTGCACACGCTTCAAGGGAGCAGAAGTCTGTGAATTTTTGTGATTCTGGATGGCCAGATAGCTACAAACAATGACAAGAAACTGCCATGTGGGGAATCGTAAGTGACTCGTTTCAGCTAGTTTAATCTTGTTTTTGATACCATGTCTTGTTTTTAGGTGTTTTGACTGATTTAATGTCAATGCTAATATGGTTAAAATTCAGTACCTTGCTAACCAACAGCTGTAATGATGTATTTGCGAGACAAGTGCTCATTGTGCAAATGTATGTATGTTTTCAATTAACATTGGAAACAAAATATTGTTTACATGTTGTCAACAATCTAAGCCAACCCCGTTTGTTTTGCCCCATAGTTGCACAACCAACCCGTCTATGGGTCATGGATAGTTTTTTAAACTTTGATTATGATCTAGGCTAGGCTGCTCTTCAGAGACTAGACTTTGAGCACCATTTTGTGTCAACCCCCCCCCCCCCCCCCCCCCCCCCCCCCCAGCAGTCAGGGGATGCTCTAGTCTAGGTGCCAGCCTCCAGCTCTCTATGCATAGCCTAATTCCCAACATTTATTTGCTTTGAGGATTCTCTTGCAAATCTGCTTTTTGTGATAGGCCAATCCTTATTATCTTGTATGTTTACATCATCCCTGGTCCAGGCCTTGTGTCATCTCTCCGCCCACCTGGAATACTTACCTCAAATATCATCATGATGTTGTTTTTCGACACAGAGATCTTATTACATTATAGGGATTTTATATGTAATTCTATAGTTTTTGACTTGACTGGCTACAAATGGAGTTTGAGCTGTCTGAGTAGTGAGAAGCTAATCTGACTACTAAAATGTAAATGTATTCAAACTGACATGATTGGCGTTGGCAAGAAGCACACCACCCTGCATCCCACTGCTGACTTGCCTCTAAAGCGAAGCAGGGTTGGTTGTGGTAAGTCCCTGGATGGGAGACCAGATGCTGCTGGAAGTGGTGTTGGAGGGCCAGTTGGAGGCACTATTTCCTCTGGTCTAGAAACATATCCAATACCCCAAGGCAGTGATTGAGGACATTGACCTGTTTAGCGTCCAGTCTTTCGGATGGGATGTTAAATGGGTGTCCTGACTGTGGTCACTAAAGATCCCATGGCACTTATCGTAAGAGTAGGGTTGTTAAACCCGGTGTCCTGGCTAAATTACAATCTGGCCCTCAATCATCCCCAGCTTCCAATTGGCTCATTCATCCTTCCTCTCCCCTGTAACTATTCCCCAGGTCACTGCTGTAAATGAGAACGTGTTCAGTCAACTTACCTGTTAAAATTTTTTGTAAATGTTCTCTCCCAAGTGTTGAACACGCATTGATTAAAGAGACAGAAACGACTGGGATAACCGCATACACATTCATTTTATTCAATAATTAATTGCCATAATAAAAAAATATCACACAAAGAATTCACATTTCTCAGGTGTAAAAAAAGACAAAACCCTCTGACAGCAGAATGCTACGAGAATCAAACATCACAGATAAAGAGAGCACAGCAAAATCTCATCTGAAATCCAACCAAGAAGATAATGTGAATAGCTCACTGGCAGAAAATGCAAAGTGGATAATGGTTGGCTACCAAAAAAGTCCAAGTGAGTGACCTTTGACTGGCTAAGAACAATGGTGCGTATGCACGTTGTCCTCTGTGAAGACAGGCATACAAATGGACACACTTGCAAACAAAAAAATTATGTGCAAGGTAAGCAGTTACAACGAGCTTGTCCACCTACAGTGATAAAAACATGAGACAAAGGCAGTTTTATCGAGACCCAGATGAGACATGCTAGGATCTGGGATGCCTCAGTGGAACTGTCCTTATGGAGAAGAGCCACAACACTGGACACAATTGTACTGCTCCGATTGTGTTTCAAATGTCAATGTCAGCATTTTGGAATATTGATACATTTCTCTCTGAATAACAGTTCTGCGTTTATAGAATCAAAGACAAACCACTGGTAATGTGAGGTTAAATTGTGAGTGTGCGATGGTGGTGAGAGGGACAATTTGCATGAACCAAATACCTGTGAACGCTTGACTTATACAAAAGGTTGGTTTATGTAAAGACCAAGATTAGGCAACCCAAACACTGAGTCTTCAATTCAAAACACACACAAATATCCAAGCATCTTGGTCATGTAAGAGGACCCAAACTGGGCCAGAAAACCATGGCAGTGTGACATAGATAGTCCCAGATCTCTGCCTGCATCTCTCATTCCCAAGGCGTTACAACTTTACAATATAGATCAGAGGGCAACACAGAGCTACAATACCAAAGAGCGGTAAACAAGTCAAGTGACATCCAGTCCACTGTGGCCAAGCTTCATGGAATAAGCAGACATCATGGAATTCCTTTGACATTTTACTGTTTCCAGATATAATTTAACAGAATCTGCTTGCATAGCTAATGATGAAATCTAAGGCTTCTAAGTAATTAAGATCTCATTGGTGAAGTCTATGTACATAATTTCAGTCTCATAATCAAAACATGTAAACATTATCAACTTGAAGGCTGGCAGACAACTCATTTCACCAAAGCTAATGTAAACACTAAAAGCATGCACCAGACGACAACTCTAAATTAATTCTACATACAAAACAGTAAACCTGTCTCTGTGTAAAGATAACAGTTTTGTTTGAACATGTGTTTGTAACTACTTTTTTATGGACTGTCATCTAGGACAATAGATTAAGTTGCTGACAGCTATACTCAGTTTTGCCCTCTTCATCTGATTTTAGGTAATGTAATCTGATGGACATGACTCTGGACAGGTCCCTAGACCAAATGCTCAGTCCCCCCCCCCAGTCCCCCCCCCCCCCCCCCCCCTAACCAAGTTAAGTGAAAGAGTTACTTATGTTCAACTAGTGCTTGAGAATCTGTGTGTGTGATAAGAAATTAGTGTGCGTGATTAAACATTGAATTTTTATCAAAGTAAATGAAATTGAAATGCGATTCAAAACATTTTATTTACAAACTTCAAAAAAAGATCTTAAAGCCATCCATTGTTACATGTCCATTCACAAACTATGTACTGTACAGGCTTTTCTAACCATGCTAGCACATACCCATAGACTTCCAGTCATTGTGGCAATGCTAGTTAGCATTGGCTCGCAAAACTACTTCTAACTTCCCAAAGTATCCCTTTAACTAAATGGAATTTACTGACAGTCAGTTGTTGCTGACTGAATCGATTTATAAATAAATACTTAAATTCAAGTAGAAAGCTATGAAAAAGAGCAGTTGGTACAACTGAAAACATTGAATACTGAGGGAACTAGCTTTCATTTGCCATTAGGATATATAGATTCAAATGAACATCTGGATGATATGAAGATGAACAAGAACAAAAGCACTGGATGACATTTTCTCTCTGCTAATGAGTGGTTTGACCGCCCGTGACTGGTTGTCCTGAAATTCACACACTTTGGGTCAGTTGTCTAATATCACATTTCTCAAGTCATGGAACACAAGAATTGACATGTTCTAGTAAAATCAACATAAAAATTCCCCTTACAAACAAAAACAGAACAAAATAGTAAAAAAAATAAAAATATGAATGAATAAATATGCACTGTCATAAATACATTAATTTGGTAAATTCAAACTTTGAACAAAAAAAAAAAAGTACTTTAAGTATGGTATGAATGAAAAGAAGAACAAGTCTGATGATGCCAGGGTATCATAATAAACACAAGAACTGGAGTTTAAAGCTCTTGCTGAAGAGACTCAAGGCTAGGGACTTGGTGGAGGAGGTGGGCTGGCCTTCCCTCTTCCCAAAGTGTTGGGTGGAGACAGTAGGTCTATGTATGTCATGAGGGGGGCAGTAACAGTCAGCAGTAACAGAAATTAAAAGATCTGTTGTTTATTAAACAGAACCAGGTCACACACCTGACTCCCCCCCTCAGTAAATCAATGTACCGGTACGTTGAATACTATAACCTTTGTTATACAGTGAATTTAACAGAATATGTGGTCTAAGTCTAATCCAGAATCATCTTTACAATGAGCTCACAACGAAGTCTGTAATGACAGTCTGTGACCACATTTTCGAAAGACACCCTCTTCTTTAGGCCAATAGCAGTTGACGGTGACATTTGGTCGCTTCAGAGAATGATCACTCTCTAGAGAGTGCTTTAAGTTGTACTTTCTTTTGGCAAAGCTATTTTTGAATTCTCTCAAATGATTTTGGTTTGACAATGACCTCTTGAACACTGTTTTTCAGTTGAAATCACATATGCCAGAGATGAAACAAAGGAACAGAAAACGAGTGTTCAAGCCATCCACAGACAGAGCGAGCCATTATGACAGAGGTTCTCTACTCTAGAACACCTGGGTACACAATGCAGAAACAGACAGGGAAGGAGACAGACACAGAGTGGTCACGGGTCATATTTGCATCACTTAGAAAAGCTACAGTAAGACTATGGTTGAGATCCAGGTCCAAGGACTGCCCGTCTCGCGGTTTCTCTACTCCCACTAGGTAACATTCAGAGACCGAGGCAAGGCATTTTCAATTCACCGTCCCTTTGGACAGTTGGCGCTTCGCAAGAGCACAGTTTTCACATCATCACCTACAGACAGGCAATCAATTAGAAACATGTAGAAGATGACATAAGAGATGGAAACCAGATCTTCCCAAAAGTGATGCCTGTCCCCAAGATCTGCGTTAAAGGCGTAAATAAGCGTAGATTCTTTGAGTTGAAGGTTCTTACTTTTCCATTTTCACCATCAAAGAGCCTAACTGTTTCTTTGACTTCAGTCTCGACAAGTCCATTTTCTGATTATCATCTAATTTCTCAAAAAACTAAACAACACTTCTGTCCTGGCAGTAAATATAACAGCAAATCAAATTGATTTTAAAAACAGTTGTGACATTTTTAGAGTAGGACTACCATATAAAATAATATTCAGTAGCAAATAAAGACAATCAAGAACAATATCATGTAACTGATATTGTGCCATACCATAATTACTACCAACTATGTCTATCAAATTGACTTATTAACGCTAGTCTATTGTCAGTTAGTTATTAACCTAGTCTATCATTAACTGTTGGAAAAATGCAACCAAGCAAATTAGCCAGTCTTCTCAACAAACAGTACACCTCGGTGGCGATTCAGGGTCACTGCAGGTCCAAACCCAGCAGTCGCTTCAGTGATTTGTATAAGCCAGTACAGAACAACATTTTGGAAGCCCCCCAAGTCCATTTTCTTTTTCTTCTACGTTCTCTCTGGTGCTCAGTTTTCTTCTCTTTTCTTCTTTTTAAATAAGATATTCAGCATAAGGATTTGTTGCTTTGTCCAGTTTGTGTTATATCCCAATACAGACTCGTTTTTTTTGAAAGGCGCGCATGTTGCACTTGGGATGGGGAAAAGGGCTAGTGGAGGTGGATAGGGCTTGGTTGTCCCTTCCTTTCCTCTCCAGATCTCCTCGCACCAGCAACCCACTAACTGTCCCCTATAACCCACATGGCTCAAGGCTCTCATTGTTCCATCACCTCAATGACATCATCATCGTCGTTTTTGCTGTCTGAGCTGCTACCGGCGTTCTCTGCTGAGCCGTGGGTGTCAGAGCGACCCAGCCCCGCCCCCATAAGGCCGGAGGAGGGGAAGTGGGAGAGAAAGCTGGAGCCAGCAGGGCCTGGGGTGGCAGCCGGGAGCCCCCCTGGGAGCAGCGAGCTAGGGTACATACCCACGGACTGGCCGTAGGACATGGGGAAGCCTGGGGGCAGCATGCCAGCCATACCAGCACCCAGCATGAAGGGAGCCAGGGAGGCAGAGTCAGAGGAGGCCGAGAAGGAGCTGGTAGTGGTGGAGGAGGAAGACCTGGAGGAGGAGCTAGGTAGGGTGCCGTCCCCCAGGCCGAAGGGGTCAGAGGTCATGGGGAACATGAGACATGGGTCACCCAGCTGGCTGTGGGGCTGGAAGTAGGGTGAGCCGGCCCCCATGAAAAGGGGCTGCTCAATGGAACCCATCATGGCTGGGTTGAGGCCCATGGGCGGGAAGCCATAGCCCCCTGCGAAGGGTAAGGCCTGGGGGGGCAATGGGGCCGAGGTGCACTTGCCGGGGGCCAGCTGCTTGTTGTTGGCCCATTCATCGGCAGACGGGGTGGAGGCTTTGCGCTTGGTGGCCTTCAGGTCCAGGGCGGCCGTGGAGTCTGTGTTTGGCTGGGCCGTGGTGTGTCTCCAGGGCTTGGCATGGCTGGTCATGCTGCTGCCATTGGTGCTCTCTGCCAGCGCTGTCTCCAAGACTCCTGCAGACGGAGCCTTGGAGGCCTGCTGCTGCTGGATCTTGTTTCCGGCTGCAGCTGTGTACCTCTGGAGCTCGCTCAGGATCTCAGGGCTGTCGGGGGAGAGCGGGCGAGTCACACAGCCGCTGGTGCCGTTCGTCGAGGCCTCCTCCGATGCCTTCTGGGTGTCTGAGGGAGGGGAGGAGAGACAGACGGGTTAGATACTGCTCTCTGGTCTAGACTAACAGAAACCATCAGCACTGGATAAAAACAGATCCATATGGACCAAAATGAGTTGAACTTAAATTGACTACGGGTTGAGTTGGGACTGTTACCTTTGGGTGCAACGGCTGAGTTCTCCTCCCCTGCCTTGAGCTTGCTTGCAGCGCGGATGGCAAAGATCCTCCCGTCACAGGTCCTGATGTAGGTTCCCTTTGGTTCCTCTGATGACGTGGATGCTCTCTCCTGCACTGATCCTGGCCTTGACATCAGTTGAACTGTTGCTTCCAGGTATCACGATATCTGTGGTGGTGACTATCTTCTGGACGAAGACGCCTGCCTTCTGCAGGTAGTTGACGGGAAAGCCTGAGCTGGAGTCAGAGTCTGCTGTGGGGGTGGAGGCATGAGATGCCTGGCGAGGCATCATGGGAACTGGAGTTGACTGAACGGGGCGGTCGCTGGCCACCGGCTTCTCATCTTGGCGAGGGGGTGGGCGCCTGAAAGGGGGGCAAGGGAAAGGAAAGATGAGAGGGTGGCGAATTGGCAGTCCAAATTGACAGTGGAGGGTTAAAGATTCTATCAACAGTTTAAAATAATTAAAAAACGTGGTATCACATTGACTGTATGCAATTGTAATATTGTCCAGTATGTTACTAAGAAAATAGATTGATCTGGTGAAAACAGGAACTAAGTCTGTTTTTGGGGACCATCTCACCAGTTTCGCTGGCTGAAGGCAGGGATGTTGGTGAGGCTCTGGTCGCTGGCTGGGTAATAGTGGGCGTAAGAGGGGCGCGTGTAGGGCACCGACGCACGCTTCTCGTCCTCGTAGCTCTTTTTGGCAGCCTTCTTCTCGGCTTTGGTGAGCTTCATCTCCTGCCGGTCAATCAGGAGAGACTCGTGGTGGAAGGGTTGCTAGAGAGACAGACATGGAGAGTAGTTTGAGTAAAATGTCTCTCTAAGTAAAATTATACCCTGAGTGTACAAAACATTAGGAACACCTTCCTAATATTGAGTTGCACCCCCCTTTGTCCACAGAACAGCCTCAATTCGTCGGGGCATGGATTCTACAAAGTGTCAAAAGCGTTCCACAGGGATGCAGGCTCCAATGCTTCCCAGAGTTGTGTCAAGTTGGCTGGATGTCCTTTGGGTGGTGGACCATTCTTGATACACACGGGAAACTGTTGAGCATGAAAAACCCAGCAGCGTTGCAGTTCTTGAGACCCTCAAACCAGTGCGCCTGGCACCTACTACCATACCCCGTTCAAAGGCACTTAAATATTTTGTCTTGCTCATTCACCCTCTGAATGGCACACATACACAATCCTTGTCTCAATTGTCTCAAGGCTTAAAAATCCTTCTTTAACCCGTCCCCTTCATCTACACTTATCGAATTGGATTTAACAGGTGACATCAATAAGGGATCATAGCTTTCACCTGGTCAGTCTATGTCATGTACGCTCAGTGTAAATAATACAGAAGTTATTGAAAAGTTGGGCACCAAACCCTTCCCATATGAAATAGTGAAATCTAGTGTAGTTCTAACCTTGGTGACCAGATGTGGGTGTATAATACAGTATGGTGTTTATAGATATGTATATACCTTGGTGATGAGGGTAGTACCTAGCTTACCACCTAGCTTACCTTGGTGATGAAATGAGTCCCTTTTGGGTAGTTTAATTTGGCCCATTTTAACATTATGTCATGAAGAGCACATGTTCAACTTATGTTTTCCCATCTCAAGAGGTTAAATTAACAAATGACTATAGTAAGTGCCTATTAAGTACGAAATAACGTAACAGGGTTGACGATTTCATCTTAAATTAGCCATGAATCTCCTTGTGACAAGGGGAAAGAAAGCTTATTGTGTGCAACAGGGAGGGGCGATTGAATGCAAGCTTCACAAAAAAATAGCACATTTATTTAAAACAATTCTAGCCTGTATGGGTAACAAGGTGTGATGCTCGACCCACTCAGTTTTCCAGCACAAAACACCAGAAAATGGCCAAAAAGAGTAGAACCAGCTCACCTGCTTTTACACTATGATTTGACTATTAGATGTTCAATGTTTTTTTTTTTAAAGGAATAGTTTCACCATATTCAAATGAGAGGAGTTCAGTTCAAGTAACAGGGTTGACCTTAAAATGAATGACTAATCGCATGAAATAAATGATAATCTTCAGAAATGACTTTGTCAAAGCAACAAAATAACTAGGGCTTTACAATGCTGGGGTTAAGTGGATTCAAATCGTCCTAGAAGTCAGAGTGCACAGAGGGACATGTCAAAATGCAGAATAAAAACAGGCTTTTAAAATTCAATATCGGTGCACAATATTTACTTAAAATATCAAAAAGGGACTCATTTTGTGGAACGACCCAGATATATATCCAGTGTAGTTCTAACCTTGGGGAAGAGGTGAGGGTAGAGCTGGCAGGCCTAGATGTGTATATAGGTGATCTGTTACCTTGGTGACTAAGTGAGGGTAGAGCTGGCAGGCCTGTCTGATGCTCGCCTCCATCTCCTGGTGGGGCTGCAGCTGCACCTGTGACACGTCAGGCTCCTCCTCGACAAAGTGCAGCAGAGACTCCACCTCCCTCCGCGTGAACGACAGCATCGGGTTCAGGTCATCTACCACTCGGTCTGCAGAGAAGAGAGAGGGATTGAAGGAAGAGAAGGAGTTAGTCTACTACACAAATACAGAGGAGAAGATTGTGTGCCTTTAAACCATCCCTGTGTGTATAGGGCCATCAACAGCTAAAATGAAAAGGTATCTGCGTGTGACATGAAACGTGGCATATAGCAAACCCTGGCCATGTATAAAATGGAATAAATCTGATGTTATTTTTCAACTAAATTCTAAGAGTGTGGGCCTTCTCTTTTTGTGTACACAGCATAGCTGAAATTGGAGCGGACCGATGTAATGTGTTAAAAAAACAATGGCAAACTATGTCAAAGCACTTTGGCAGTGGTGCACGAGTAGGGATGCATGGAGTGCACTTAGCCTGAGAGGAGTCTGACTTCACAGAGTCTGACAGAGCTCAGAGGACTGCTGTACTTCACAGCACACACTGTTTAGCATGCTAGTGAAGTGGACTGGCCAGATGAAGTGCACTTAGCAGGGGAGGCTTGGGGTAAGTGTAGACTCTGCAGTACTGATAGCAGAAGTTCATGTAATAGTAGGCCTAGTAGACTTGGCTGGAGGAAGCAGAGGTGTCTTGGTAGGCCAGTGTGTAGTCTATGTACACTACTTGTCAAAAGTTTTAGGACACCTACTCATTCAAGGGTTTTCTTTATTTTTACTATTTTCTACATTGCCGAATAATAGTGAGGATTTCAACATTTTGAAATAACACATATGGAATCATGTAGTAACCAAAAAAAAAGTGTTAAACAAATCAAATTATATTTTATATTTGAGATTCTTCAAATAGCCACCCTTTGCCTTGACGATAGCTTTGCACACTCTTGGCATTCTCTCAACCAGCTTCACCTGGAATGCTTTTCCAACAGTCTTGAAGGAGTTCCCAAATATGCTGAGCAATTGTTGGCTGCTTTTCCTTCACTCTGCTGTCCGACTCATCCCAAACCATCAAAGTTCTTGAAAATTTCCAGATTGACTGACCTTCATGTCTTACAGTAATGATGGACTGTCATTTCTCTTTGCTTATTTGAGCAGTTCTTGCCATAATATGGACTTGGTCTTTTACCAAATAGGGCTATCTTCTGTATACCCCACCTACCTTGTCACAACACAACTGATTGGCTCAAACGCATTAAGAAGGAAAGGAATCCCACAAATTAACTTTTAAGAAGGCACACCTGTTAATTGAAATGCATTCCAGGTGACTACTTCATGAAGCTGTTTGAGAGAATGCCAAGAGTGTGCAAAGCTGTCATCAAGGCAAAGGGTGGCTATTTGAAGAATCTCAAAAATATTTTGATTTGTTTAACACTTTTTTGGTTACTTCATGATTCCAGATGTGTTATTTCATAGTTTTGATGTCTTCACTATTATTCTACAATGTAGAAAATAGTTAAAATAAAAATAAAAACTTGAATGAGTAGGTGTTCTAAAACTTTTGACCGGTAGTGTAGTCAGCATCTATTCTATTCCATTCTATGTGTTTTTTTGGTTAGCTGGTTACTTACCAGACATGCCCTGCTTGGAGATCTGTCGGTCATAGATTTTCTTCTCCAGGGTGAAGTCACAGACCAGGCGGTAGATGTGGCAGGGTTTCTTCTGGCCGTAGCGGTACACTCTACACACGGCCTGGGCGTCGTGACAGGGGTTCCAGGAGGCATCGAAAACCACCACGCGGTTAGCCCCGATCAGGTTCACCCCCAGACAGCCAGCCCTGGGGACGGGGAGACGCACACGTCACTGACCTGAGGTGTATGTGTGTTTGTGTGTGTAGGACTGTGCACGTGTGTGGGAGAGAGTGTGAATGAGGGATAGTGTTTGTAACAAGTGTGGGTTACAAGTGTGACTATACAGAAGTATGATTATAAACACATTATAATTATTTCTACCAGTGTGTTCCTGAGAAGGTCTATTACCTGGTGGACAGCAGAAAGACCAAGGTGGAGGTGTTGGATGGGTCGTTGAACTGGTTGATGAGTCTCTCTCTCTCTGAGGCAGACGTGCTCCCATCCAGTCCTAAAGAAAGGAACCATAGAAAGAGTCAATCCCTGTCTCCAACACACAGAACCAAGAACAATGGAGAGATATCAAGATCACCAGCAGGTGGCGATAGCCAATGTAAGTCAATGGGAAAAGTTGCAGCATGGGTTTGGAGAGGCTGAATGACAGTTCGTATAGCTACAGTAAAATATATCACTGGATAAATGGAGTCAGAGACAAGTGGTGACAGCGGTGGATGTCAATACCCCATAATGACAAAGCAAAAAAAGGTTTTTAGAAATGTTTGCAAATGTTAAAAAACTGAAATATCACATTTACATAAGTATTCAGACCCTTTACTCAGTACTTTGCTGAAGCACATTTGACAGCGTTTACAGCCTCAAGTCTTCTTAGGTATGATGCTAAAAGTTTTGCACACCTGTATTTGGGGAGTTTCTCTCATTCTTCTCTGCAGATCCTCTCAAGCTCTGTCAGATTAGATGGGGAGCGTCGCTGCACAGCTATTTCCAGGTCTCGCCAGAGATCGGGTTCGATCGGTTTATAATATAATATGCCATTTAGCAGACACTTTTATCCAAAGCGACTTACAGTCATGTGCGCATACATTTTTACGTATGGGTGGCCCGGGGATCGAACCCACTACCCTGGTGTTACAAGCACCATGCTCTACCAATTGAGCTACCACCAGGCTTGGGTTCAAGTCTGGGCTCTGGTTGGGCCACTCAAGGACATCAGACTTGCCCCGAAGCCACTCCTGCGTTGTCTTGGCTGTGTACTTAGTGTTGTTGTCCTGTTGGAAGGTGAATCTTTGCCCCAGTCTGAGGTTCTCAGCACCCTGGAGCAGGTTTTCTTCAAGGATCTTTCAGTACTTTCCTCCGTTCATCTTTCCCTTGATTCTGACTAGTCTCCCAGTCCCTGCCGCTGAAAAACATCCCCACAGGATGATGCTGCCACCACCATGCTTCACCGTAGTGATTGTATTGGCCAGGTGATGAGCAGTGCCTGGTTTCCTCCAGACGTGATGCTTGGCATTCAGGTTGAAGAGTTCAATCTTGGTTTCATCAGACCAGATATTCTTGTTGCTCATGGTCCGAGAGTCCTTTAGGTGCCTTTCGGCAAACTCCAAGCGGGCTGTCATGTGCCTTTTACTGAGGAGTGGCTTCCGTCTGAGAACTCTACCATAAAAGCCTGATTGGTGGAGTGCTGCAGAGATGGTTGTCCTTCAGGAAAGTTCTCCCATCTCCACAGAAGAACTCTGGAGCTCTGTCAGAGTGACCATCGTGTTCTTGGTCACCTCCCTGACCAAGGCCCTTCTCCCTGATTGCTCAGTTTGGCCGGGCGGCCAGATCTAGGAAGAGTCTTGGTGGTCCCAAACTGCTTCCATTTAAGAATGATGGAGGCCACAGTGTTCTTGGGGACCTTCAATGCTGCAGAAATGTTTTGGTACCCTTCCCCAGATCTGTGCCACGACACAATCCTGTCTCGGAGCTCTACAGACAACTCATTTGACCTCAAGGCTTGGATTTTGCTCTGACATGCACTGACAACTGTGGGACTTTATATAGACAGGTGTCTGCCTTTCCAAATCATGTCCACTCAATTGAATTTACCACAGGTGGTCTCCAATCAAGTTATAGAAACATCAAGGATGACCAAAGGAAACAGGAGGCACCTGAGCTCAATTTGGAATCTCATAGCAAAGGGTCTGAATACTTCTGAATACTTATGTAAATAAGGTTTTTTATTTTTAATAAGAATGGCAAAAATCACTGTCATTATGGGGTTGTAACGTAACAAAATGTGGAAAAAGTGAAGGGATCTGAATACCTTCCGAATGCACTGTGTGTATTCTCTCTCGAGAGAGAGAGAGAGAGAGACGAGAGAGAGGAGAAGAGAAGAGAGCAGGGAGGAGAGAGAAGAGAGAGAGAAGAGAGAAAGGTATATAGAGAGAGATCGAGGAGCAGAAGAGAGAGAGAGAGGGAGAGAGAGTAGGCGAGAGAGACGAGAGAGAGAGAGAGAAGAGCGAGGAGAAGAGAGAGAGAGAGAGAGAGAGAGAGGAGAGAGAGAGAGAGAGAGAGGAGAGAGGAAGGAGAGAGCGAGCGAGAGAGAGAGAGAGAGTAGAGAGAGCGAGAGAGAGAGAGAGGAAGCGAGAGAGCGAGCAGAGAAGAGAGAGAGAGAGAGAGATGAGAGAGAGAGAGAGAGGAGAGAGATCGGAGAGCGTCTAGTCGATGCTCTCTAGCTAGAGAGATCGTAGAGAGATTCGAGCGAGAGAGAGAGATCATCTCTCTCTAGCGCTCTCTCTCTCTGCTCTAGCTCTATCTATCTGCTCGCGATCTCGATCTTCTCTCTCTCTCTTCTTCTCTCTCTCTCTACATACACACAGTGGGGGGAAAAGTATTTAGTCAGAAACCAATGTGCAAGTTCTCCCACTTAAAAAGATGAGAGGGCCTGTAATTTTCATCATAGGTACACGTCAACTATGACAGACAAATTGAGAAAACAAAATCCAGAAAATCACATTGTAGGATTTCTTTATGAATTTATTTGCAAATTATGGTGGAAAATAAGTATTTGGTCACCTACAAACAAGCAAGATTTCTGGCTCTCACAGACCTGTAACTTCTTCTTTAAGAGGCTCCTCTGTCCTCCACTCGTTACCTGTATTAATGGCACTTGTTTGAACTTGTTATCAGTATAAAAGACACCTGTCCACAACCTCAAACAGTCAAACTCCAAACTCCACTATGGCCAAGACCAAAGAGCTGTCAAAGGACACCAGAAACAAAATTGTAGACCTGCACCAGGCTGGGAAGACTGAATCTGCAATAGGTAAGCAGCATGGTTTAAAGAAATCAACTGTGGGAGCAATTATTAGGAAATGGAAGACATACAAGACCACTGATAATCTCCCTCGATCTGGGGCTGCACACAAGATCTCACCCCGTGGGGTCAAATTGATCACAGAACCACACGGGGGGACCTAGTGAATGACCTGCAGAGAGCTGGGACCAAAGTAACAAAGCCTACCATCAGTAACACACTACGCTGCCAGGGACTCAAATCCTGCAGTGCAAGACGTGTCCCCCTGCTTAAGCTAGTACATGTCCAGGCCCGTCTGAAGTTTGCTAGAGTGCATTTGGATGATCCAGAAGAGGATTGGGAGAATGTCATATGGTCAGATGAAACCAAAATATAACTTTTTGGTAAAAACTCAACTCGTCGTGTTTGGAGGACAAAGAATGCTGAGTTGCATCCAAAGAACACCATACCTACTGTGAAGCATGGGGGTGGAAACATCATGCTTTGGGGCTGTTTTTCTGCAAAGGGACCAGGACGACTGATCCGTGTAAAGGAAAGAATGAATGGGGCCATGTATCGTGAGATTTTGAGTGAAAACCTCCTTCCATCAGCAAGGGCATTGAAGATGAAACGTGGCTGGGTCTTTCAGCATGACAATGATCCCAAACACACCGCCCGGGCAACGAAGGAGTGGCTTCGTAAGAAGCATTTCAAGGTCCTGGAGTGGCCTAGCCAGTCTCCAGATCTCAACCCCATAGAAAATCTTTGGAGGGAGTTGAAAGTCCGTGTTGCCCAGCGACAGCCCCAAAACATCACTGCTCTAGAGGAGATCTGCATGGAGGAATGGGCCAAAATACCAGCAACAGTGTGTGAAAACCTTGTGAAGACTTACAGAAAACGTTTGACCTGTGTCATTGCCAACAAAGGGTATTTAACAAAGTATTGACAAAACTTTTGTTATTGACCAAATACTTATTTTCCACCATAATTTGCAAATAAATTCATTAAAAATCCTATAATGTGATTTTCTGGATTTTTTTTTCTCATTTTGTCTTTCATAGTTGACGTGTACCTATGATGAAAATTACAGGCCTCTCTCATCTTTTTAAGTGGGAGAATTTGCACAATTGGTGGCTGACTAAATACTTTTTTGCCCCACTGTACATATTTTTAAAAATACAAAAACACAGTTATGGGAAGCACAAATAAAACATACTGTAGTAGTTGTGATTGCGGAGCCAGTTTTGGTTGTGGCCGTCTCTGGCGCTGCCCGCCGGTATGGGCCTCTTGGCCAGGAACTCCTCAATGACCGAGAGGGTGGACAAACTCTGGCTGCAGGAAACACAGTGGAGAGGGTGATACGGTGAGGAGGGGTCCTTGGAAATTAGAGTCGAACTAATTCAACCATTTGAGAATAGGTTTTTCCATCTATACAGTACCATTCAAAAGTTTGGACACACCTACTCATTCAAGGGTTTTCTTTATTTTTACTATTTTCTACATTGTTAAATAATAGTAAAGACATCAAAACTATGAAATAACACATATGGAATCATGTAGTAACCAAAAAAAGTTTAACAAATCAAAATATATTTTATATTTGAGATTCTTCAAAGTAGCCACCCTTTACCTTGATAGCATTGCACACTCTTGGCATTCTCTCAACCAGCTTCACCTGGAATGTTTTTCCAACAGTCTTGAAGGAGTTCCCACATATGCTGAGCACTTGTTGGCAGCTTTTCCTTCACTCTGCGGTCCAACTCATCCCAAACCATCTCAATTGGGTTGAGGTCAGGTGATTGTGGAGACCAGGTCACCTGATGCAGCACTCCATCACTCTCCTTCTTGGTCAAATAGCCCTTACACAGCCAGGAGGTGTGTTTTGGGTCATTGTCCTGTTGAAAAACAAATGATAGTCCCACTAAGCGCAAACCAGATGGGATGGAGTATCGCTGCAGAATGCTGTGGTAGCCATGCTGGTTAAGTGTGCCTTGAATTCTAAATAAATCACAGACAGTCACCAGCAAAGCACCACCACACCTCCTCCTCCATTCTTCACGGTGGGAACTACACATGCAGAGATCGTTCACCTACTCTGCGTCTCACAAAGACACGGCGGACTCAGACCAAAGGACAGATTTCCACCGGTCTAATGTCCATTGCTCGTGATTCTTGGGCCAAGCAAGTCTCTTCTTCTTATTGGTGTCCTTTATTAGTGGTTTCTTTGCAGCAATTCGACCATTAAGGCCTGATTCACGCAGTCTCCTCTGAACAGTTGATGTTGAGATGTGTCTTTTACTTGAAATCTGTGAAGCATTTATTTGGGCTGCAATCTGAGTTGCAATTAAATCTAATGAACTTATCCTCTGCAGCAGAGGTAACTCTGGGTCTTCCTTTCCTGTGGCGGTCGTCATGAGAGCCAGTTTCATCATAGCGCTTCATGGTTTTTGCGACTGCACTTGAAGAAACTTTAAAAGTTCTTGACATTTTCCGGATTGACTGACTTTCAAGTCTTAAAGTAATGATGGACTGTCGTTTCTCTTTGCTTATATTTGAGCTGTTCTTGCCATAATATGGACTTGGTCTTTTACCAAATAGGGCCATCTACTGTATACCAACCCAACCTTGTCACAACACAACTGATTGGCTCAAATGCATTAAGGAAAGAAATCCCACAAATTAACTTTTAACAAGGTACACCAGTTAATTGAAATGCATTCCAGGTGACTACCTCCCGAAGCTTGTTGAGAAAATGCCAAGAGTGTGCAAAGCTGTCAAAGGCAAAGGGTGGCTACTTTGAAGGATCTCAAAGATAAAATATATTTTGATTTGTTTAACACTTTTTTGGTTACTACATGATTCCATGTGTTATTTCATTAATTCTGATGTCTTCACTAGTATTCTACAATGTAGAAAATAGTACAAATAAAGAAAAACCCTGGAATGAGTAGGTGTGTCCAAACTTTTGACTGGTATTGTATATGCTTTTGAGTCTTCATCTTCAAGACTACGTTACATTGCAACAGTTGTTTTAAAAGGGCTGAAAGAAAAACGTGTAAAAACTTTAGCTGAAAACAGTAAACAGAACAGTAAAACGTGAGGTCTTATTTCTGTGCCTACCTGAAGACCAGGATCTTGTCTCCCTTCCTGACGCTCTCGTCGATCAGGTGGAACAGCAGGACCATCTTAGCAGAGTTCTCCAAAACCCCTGGCTTATAGTCAGACATGATCTCCTTCGCCTGCAATGGAGAGAGAGAAAAAAAGAGAGAGAGAGAGAGGTTGATGAGATAAGTCAGTACAGTGTAATTGTAATGCACAGGTAATAACCTGTTTTCACTGAAACCTATGACAATACCCATTCTAAATGAGCAGTCCTCAAATTGTTTTCCAACCAGCTTAAATCCACGATGACTCAACCAACTGCCACTTAACCTGAGTGGAAAACAAAAAGCTTGGCAGTGAAGTGTGGCTGCGTACCCATTCGTAGGTGATGACCTGATTGGCCCTCTCCTGCAGAGCGTTGAGACTCAGCCCTCCGATGCTGTTGGGGTCCTCCGGAGTCTTGCCCTTCTGGTTGGGGGCGGGGAAGCGGGCGTGGCTGTTGGTGATGTCATCCAGTTCCAGGTCCTGCTCATTGGCCAGATTCTCCTTCTGCAGTGCCTCGTACAGCACGTCTGTGTGGTTCCAGATCTGGTCCAGACAAACATTATTACAACATTAGGATGACGTCTGAATGAAATGCGGACATGTATACAGCATATGATATAAATGTACTTCACAACGTTTTTTCACTCCTGTGCATGCCAAAACAGAAACAGACACACACACACACACACACACACCTTGCAGCAGACGCAGAAGGCCTTGAGTGGGTTGAGGCTGAGCCAGCCGCTGTTGCCTGCCTCTCTGAAGCGGTTCATAAACTCTGTGTAGAGGGCCCTCTGCAGTGGTGACAGTCGCACCAGTATCACATGCTCATCCTTGGAGGGGAGCTGGTCTCTCAACACGTCATGACCACGCCTGGGAACAAACACAACCCGAGTTAGACCACAAATATCTACGCCATATTCTGTAGATCTCTACATTCATGAAAAAACACAACCATTATCAGACTACAACTAGAATCTCCATTGAAAGTGCTTTTTAGTTCAGGAATAGACTTAATCTGGGAAACTGGCCTATAAAGTATACCAGAAAAGAGATACTGTGCTAGCATCAGTTCATGTGGGTTATAACCAGCTGCACCAAGCCAGAGGTCTCCATCTCTTGGTCTCACCTCTGGACAAAGCCCTCCAGCAGGCTATGGAGGACATGACTTCGGTATCTCATCAGTTGGACGTCCTGCGGTGTGCTGTCCACACACTGCCCGTTCAGAATGGGCCTCTCAAACATGTTACTGAACTCCTGCCTGGTACCTAGGAAATCAGGCCTGACAAAGTCCACCATACACCAGTACTCTATCAGGTTGTTCTGGAGGGGGTAGCCCGTTAGGACCACTCGCCGCCGGGTATGGATGTTCTTCAGGGCCTGTGAGGTGCTGGCGTGGCAGTTCTTAATGCGGTGGCCCTCGTCACAGATCACCACGTCCGGGCCGGGGCGAGACAGGGCCTTCTCTATGCCTATAGGAGGGTAGAGGAAGAGAGAGGGGGATGTCAAGTTAGAGCTATTTCAGGTAAAATGGTAGCCCTAAAGATGTGTATGTAGGAGTACGATCCAAGCAATGACTTTATGTTCAATTCATCTAAGTGACTCATGTTATCGGAGTCACTCATGATGACAGCTGTGAGTCATACTAAAGTGATGGAGCTACTGTGTAACTGGAAACCTGTGCACTCATACAAACATACTTGAGCACATGAAAAATAATTAACAGAGTTATCTACAGTAACATGGGTTCTAACAAAGGGTTATCCATTAATCGAGCAAAAGCCTTGTGTGCAGATGGACTTGCTTTGATGAAAGAAAAACTGCCATAAGCTTCTGGTCTGAAAAGTTTGAAAAGGGCAGACCATGACTGACATAAGTGTTGATTGACTCCAAGTTGACCTTTGACCTACTGACCTTTGAGGAGCTCCTGATGCCGGTCTTCTTCATCCAGGTCGATGACCACCGGTCCTTGGGCCTTCTTGGACTTCTTCCGGCCCGCCACAAAGCTCTTCTTCAGGGACAGCAGGCGGTACATCTCATATCCCATCAGGAGCACACCGCCGTCCCGCGACCAGTCAGAGATCACCTTCGCTCTAGTGGTCATGGTTCTGAGAAAACAGGAAGAGAGAACGCACACAGAAAGAAAGAGAGCGAGACAGAGCACAGATAGAGAGAGAGAGGAGAGAGAACGAGAGTAGAGAGAGAAAAGAGCGATAGCACATCAGCGACAATGTTCCACACATAATAGCACAGCCATTTAAGTAGACTTCAAGTAGTAACACACCTGGGCGATAGATGAGTCATGTTTGTGCATTTATTAATTTATAAATATTTTTTTTTACAAACGTTTCCCTGGTTCCATGTACAGTAGGGAGCATTGACTGATAACTCTGTAGTATGCAATACTGTCTGGTTGGTCTGATGAGCGCAGCCAGGCTTACAGAGAGACTATTAGCACAGAAAACACTGATAGAGCCAGCAGCCAAAGACTTGGCTTCACTTCCCTCACAGAGAGGGAGGGAGCAATGGAGGGTGAGGGGTTGATAGAGGACAGGATGAGGAACAGCAAGAAAGGGAGAAAAAGAGAGGGATTGAGCAGAGGAAGCGATTAGGTCACTGGGTCAACTGCTATGACAAGTCTGCAGGAGAGCAGTAGTGTGCAAAGCTGTGTGCGATGGAAAGCCACACTTGATACACAGCAGTGGAGTACTAGAGACATATCTTAGGCAGTTGTGTGATACAGAACACTTAGCAGAAGCAGAGAGAGAGCTGTGAGTGGGAGTGAATCATCTCGTCCCTCACAAACACAAACCATGATCAAGCCTAAAAGGCTTCAGCTTTTAAAGAGGAGGGAGTGGGATATCGCCGTTCCCAGAAAGGACGGGAAACTCACTTGTGCTCGTCGTTCAGGATGTGGACCTTGAAGGTGCGCGGGGAGACCTGGGTCGGGTCCACGTCCGCAGGTAGCGCCTCAGATGTCGGGAGCCAGAGGTTAAATTCGGCCAGCCAGTTCTGTAACGTGTTGACCTATAGAGAGAGAAAGAGAGAGGAAGAGTAAATTATCGCAGACAAGAGACTACAAGCTACATCCAGTATGTAAGTAAGCATTTCACTGTTAGTCTACACCTGTTGTTTACTAAGCATGTGACAAATAAAATGTGATTTGATTTTGATTACAAAGAGAATACAGAATTTAGAGAGAGAACAGAGTACAGGTAGTCACTCACAGGCACGATGGCGAGCACGGTGTGGGCCTGGGTGTGTCTGAGCACGATGTCTATGAAGGAGATGACCTGCAGGGTCTTGCCAAGGCCCATGCTGTGGGCCAGGATACAGCCAAAGCCACTGCTGCTCCCATAGCGCTCCAGAGACTCAATCAGGTTATCATAGAGGAACCGGATCCCACCGATCTGACAGATCAGGAGGGGGGAGAGACAGAAGTGAGATCATTACAAGTCAACTCATTAGCAGATTGAAAATACTTAATTGTTGAATTTGTTTGACTGCATTGTATCCAATGGTTCGTCTCCATGGGCTCTATGGAGTTTCCCAGAAACAGACAATCTTCATTGAAAGTGCTTTTTAGGCTTAATATGGATCAGGGAAACTGTCCCTATATAAACTGCTAGGCTGCCTGTGCTAACAAGAGAATCCATGTCTGGACTGAGTCAGCAGTACCTGGTGAGGTTTGACGGCCCGGGCCAGGTGAGAGGAGAGGAACAGGTCTGCCTCCTCGGCTGGGTGGTTCAGGTTGACCAAGACACGCCCCTGGGCGTCCGGTTGGTTCACAGCGTCGTTGGTGTGGGCGCCGGTCGCCGCCGACCGGTTCTCCACCTCATTGGTGGACTCGCTGCTAATCTGGAGGGCGTCGTCCTCGTCGGAGCTCAGCTCGATCACATCTATGGTTGAGAAAGGAAAAAGAAAATAGGTTTTTGTTAGAAGAGTATTGTAGATGGAAATGGAGAAACATTTCATATATATCTACATCAGGGATGGGCAACTGGCGGCCCCCTTTTGTAGGCCCGCGGACCAATTTGTATTATTTGGGGGGGGGGGGGACTCAGTCGGGGTCTGAACTTACTGTGGAGCGTTAGAATAATAGAATACACAAGGTGCAATTCCGAAATTAGATTGTTAAGTTAGTCTTGCGGCCAGCTATCTAAACTTGTAGTAAGCATGGTCGAATTACCAATCGGGGTGGGGCCCATTGATCATCAGTTATATTACAAATTGCAAACATTTGCCTCCACCCTATGGCAAAATGTGTAGAATTGCAGGAAATTAGCTGTAAAACGTATTTAAAAAAAAAATCTTCCCTGTCAGGAGAAGTGCCGCTAAAATGTTTTGCTCGTGAGCCACTTCGGCCCCTCACGATGAGTTCAGTTTTTTTTTGTGACCCCCGCCCCCATCAAAGTTGCCCATCCCTGATCTACATAATACCCAGTTTCCATTGCATTGTGCTGGTGCCTTTTGATCAAAACAATAACTTAGATAATGTTACACAATACTGCCTAACATACAAATAAATAAAATATTTTATTAGTTTCAATAATACACAATTTCTCCAAAACATGGCTTGGTGTTTTCACAAATTCTATAAAATAAATGCAATGTTTTCAGGCATCATATTTGTCTTAGTATCTTTAGGCAAACAAATCTTTAAAAAAAGTTCCCACCTGACCTGTCCTCGTTTCAAATAGCGACGTCAAAATCTGTTTGCCAAACGAAATTTAAAAAAGTAATAAAAAAAATCCATTTCTTCTAAATGGTTCTCCACGTCATCTATATTAAGTGATAAGTAACGTTTGTTAGACTTTAGATGTGGCATGGCGGAGGGGAAGAGAGGGGAGGGCGATAGAGGTCTTATATAAATCTAGCGAATAGGGGGTTATACAAGCTGGATTATAGTAGTGGAGGATGGGTTTACATAACCCTGGGCAGAAATGTCACCGCACTGCCTGGGCTGGGGCTGGCTGGGGTTAACCAGTTATTTGCTCCATAAACCCACTTCCATTCCAGACGTAGTCACCTTATCTGCCTTCCCTCTTAACCAGGACCTAGCAACGCCAGACTGGTCTCTGATAACGCCAGTGGGGTGGGTTGGAAGGGTGTTCAATTGGGAACGGATCTGTTCGGGGTGGATCTATGTCCACAAGCAGACTGGTCTGTGTGTGTTTGTGTGTTAATAAGTGACAGAGTTTGTTTGTGTGTGTGTGTGTGTGTCATGGCAGTGGAGGAAAAGCACATGATGCCCACCAGAGCTTATGTAGTTCTATACTACAGCGACTCTCCTTCACTAGCCAGCTAATCCATCTAAGACTGCTCAGAGCCAGTCCCAGTCCCTAACTACCCCATGCTGCTATTTGGAGCACTATTTTGACTATATTTCATGAAGCACTTTCATAAAGTACACAGCGAGACCATTTCCCTTACTTGACATACAGTAACTATCTGACCCACATTTGATCCCATTTACAAAACCTGGGGTTCAAAGGTCATTTGTGTTTATAGGTAATAATGAGTGACATTGAAAGGCTAGAGAAATGGGTCATAACATTACCAAGTATATCAAATACGGAAGTCTGGCCGTCTGGCACAGGAGGACCACAGTCAGTCTCTATTACATGTGTAATATATGTGTAATAATATATAATGTGTGACAGACCCTGAGTCTTCTCTATTTTAATGAGCGATACTAATCGGTGTCTCATAGTGACTGGGGTCTCACCTTCTTTTGGGGCATGTGCTTCTGTGATCAGAGCCTTGGAGTCGTCCTCGCTGACATTAGTGCTGCTGTAAATGGTGTCCTGGCAGATCACATGGTCCCGTTCGGCCACGCTAGCAGACAGACTCTGAGACAGATCTCCTGGAGGGGACAGAGACAGAGATGCAGTGGTTAGTTACCGGAGTGTGTTAAGTATCAACCAGTACATTTCTATTATGATATTGAGATTATATATTATATTTCAAGAGTATACAATTTCAATACAAAATATATTTCTGATTTCACACTCCAGCTATCAATCACGTGTGTGTGTCCTCACCTGGTGTGTACTCGGGTAGCAGGGGCACGGGGAAGTGCCCTTCCTTCCTCTGCTGTTCCAGCCTCTCCCGCCTCTCCAGCTCCTCCTGCTGGGCAGCTTTGGTCACCACCTCCAACTGGTGCTCCCTCAATAGCTTTCTACATCACAGAGAGAAAGAGAGAGCGAGAGAGCGAGCGAGAGCGAAAGCGAGAGAGAAGTGGAGAGGGAGAGTAGAGATATCAGAACAGGCCTCAGGCATCCATCTCTGTTATAGGGCCAACAGACTGACTAGAGCATGCCAGATCGCATGGGGATATACAGTACATTACTAATGCTGTATGTATTTAGTGCAGGGTTTCCCAAACTCGGTCCTCGGGACCCCAAGGGGTGCACGTTTTGGTTTTTGCCATAGCACTACACAGCTGATTCAAATAATCAACTATTCATCAAGCTTTGAATCAGCTGTGTAGTGTTAGGGCAAAAAACCAAAATGTGCACCCCTTGGGGTCCTGAGGACAGAGTTTGGGAAACGCTGGTTTAGTGTGTATTTGTGTGCACGTCTGTTTATCGCCGTATGTGTGTATCTGTCTGTGTGTGAGAGAGAGCTGTAATAATGTAATAAACACTGGGGAAATAATCCCACTCATGGCAGCATGGTTGACTTCTTGCCAGACTGAGTAATACAGAGATCTTCTACTTAAAGGCTTCATTCATACATGTGCTGTATGTATAGATGATTAAGATCACAAGTTAGGGAATTAATGGTTGAATATTGCTGTTCATTGTATCTTTGAAGTTGGTTAAGGGCCTATATTAGATGCTCTCTATATATGCAAGTTTGGATGTTGTAAGGGGTCAGAGGTCATACCTGATGTTCCTCCTCATGTGTGCGGGTTTGTTGGAGTGGGACCTCTTTTTGGTTTCACTCAGGGACCGCGAGGGTGTTTGGCTCTCGGGCCGTGAGGACGGTCGAGAGGGGGGCTGCGCAGAGGGGTGGGACAGCGTCTCCCCCGAGGGTGAGGTAGATGGGGTGATGCACTGCCATCCCGCAGAGTCCCCTCCCTGCGCTTCATTCTCCGAGCTGAACGGAGCACTATGAGGCTGGTCTGTGGAGAGAGACGGAGGGAGGAGATATTCATATTATTGATATGCAAAACGTAAATCAATGAAAATGTATGTTGATTGAATACCAATAAAGGTATGCTGTATAACAGGCATGGATTTCTCCATCACTGAAGGAGAAGTACAGACTGATTCAACTGTTTTTTTTTACTGACCCAGAAGGATTTATATTAAAGATGTATTGTGTTTAAGAGGGAGTAACTTGGTCAGCGCTTGATACGACTCTGTCCTGCCCTCCTTCCCTGCCTCCCTGCAGACAGGAGACACCCTGAACTAGATCTGAGGTGGTTATGTAAGTGCTCATAAATATGGAGAGCTTCTGAAACCCTGAGCGCAGGGGCTGGCCACTAGGGCTGAGGCTAAGGGCAGGGTCTGGGGCTTTTGGTGCTTCATGGGTCTGGACAGACTGACTGACAAAGCTGATGATTAAACCAAAGTTACTGCCCACATAAACAGCCCCCCCCCCCTCTCAGTATGAACCACATAGCAGCTCAATGTAAGATGCGCTTGTAAGCCAGGGTAGTGGGACGATCCCGGACACCATACTAAAAAGTAGCACCATGATTGTAAGCGTGGATAAAAGCCTGCTAATGGCATTATATATATATTAATCCACTGTTCATTTAGCCAACACCGCGGCCCAATTCACCCAAAAGCTCAACCCAGCCCCCCTAACCCAGAGTCAATTGTAGTCCAGTGCCTCAGAAAGTATTACACCCTTGTACTTGTTTCCCCACATTTTGTTGTGTACAGCCTGAATTTAAATTGTAGAAATTGGATTGTGTCCTGCCTACACACAAATACCCCAAATGTCAAGTGGGTATTATATTTTTAAGAAATGTTTACTAATTAATTAAAAATGAAAAGCTGAAATGTCATGAGTCAATAAGTATTGAACCCCTTTGTTATGGCAAGCCTAAATAAGTTCAGAAGTCAAAATGTACTTGAGTCACATGGACTCAATCTGTGTGTAAAAATAGCGTTTAACATGATTTCTAAAATGACTACCTCATCTCGGTACCCCACATATACAATTATCTGTAAGGTCCCTCAGTCGAGCAGAGAATTTCAAACACAGATTAATGAATTCAGGCGGTAACACAAAAAAATGTGGAATAAATCAAGGCACTGTATATGGCTCTTTGACCTATAGCCTAACCCCAGCTTGTCACCCAAGCCTGACCCAGTCTTTTATTGTCCTGACCTGCTCAGAATCACACTGCACAATTATTCTCAACCAGGAAAACATCACTGCTCCACACAGAAATCCATAAGCATAGACAACCCACTGAACCCAGACTGACCCAACATCTGTCAGGCCAGAACATCCATCCTGAGCCAAGTCTGGTCCAGTCCAACCCAGAATTATCTCTCTCAGAAGCAGACTGCAAGAGCTATGCGGACCCTGGTCAAAAGTAGTGCACTATATAAGGAATAAGGTTACACCGTCAGGAAAACCCAGCAAGGAAAGCCTCTGACTAAAACAGGCTAACATAAAAAAAGGTAAAACAGGAAGAAAAGTTTTGTATATAATGCAATGACAGAGGCTGGTGGTGAGCCAACAGTGAGTTGAAAAACAAATTACATAAAAACGCCCTCTCCTCGACTAACTCAATCTACAAAATGATTCCTTTATGTTGCTCTGAATCCAGTTCCATAAGCTTTCGTACAGCCCCTTTGTGACCTCTGGTATATTGGTTATATAACCCAATTTAACAAGATACACTGTGTACAAAAAAAAAATAACTTTCGACCACCTTCACTCCACACACAGAGACGTGTACAAAGCACTCCCTCACCCTCCATTTTGCAAATCTGACCATAACTCTATCCTCCTGATTCCTGCTTACAAGCAAAAACTAAAGCAGGAAGCACCAGTGACTAGGTCAATAAAGAAGTGGTCAGATGACACAGATGCTAAGCTACAGGACTGTTTTCCTAGCACAGACTGGAATATGTTCCGGGATTCTTCCGATGGCATTGAGGAGTACACCACATCAGTCACTGGCTTCATCAACAAGTGCATCGATGGCGTCGTCCCCACAGTGACCGTACGTACCCCAACCAGAAGCCATGGATTACAGGCAACATCCTCACTGAGCTGAAGGGTAGAGCTGCCGCTTTCAAGTAGCGGTACTCTAACCCGGACGCTTATAAGAAATCCCGCTATGCCCTCCGACGAACCATCAAACAGGCAAAGCGTCAATACAGGACTAAGATTTAATTGTACTACACCGGCACCGATGCTCGTCGGATGTGGCAGGGCTTGCAAACTATTACAGAATATAAAGGGAAGCACAGACGCGAGCTGGCCATTGACACAAGCCTACCAGACGAGCTAAATTACTTCTATGCTCACTTCGAGGCAAGCAACACTGAAGAATGCATGAGAGCATCAGCTGTTCGGGATGACTGTGTGATCACGCTCTCCATAGCCAATGTGAGTAAGACCTTTAAACAGGTCAACATTCACAAGGCCGCAGGGCCAGACGGATTACCAGGATGTATGCTCCGAGCATGCGCTGACCAACTGGCAAGTGTGTCTTCACTGACATTTTCAACCTGTCCCTGACTGAGTCTGTAATACCAACATGTTTCAAGCAGACTACCATAGTCCATGTGCCCAAGAACACTAAGATAACCTGCCTAAATGACTACCGACCTGTAGCACTCACGTCTGTAGCCATGAAGTGCTTTGAAAGGCTGGTCATGGCTCACATCAACACCATTATCCCAGAAACCCTAGACCCACTCCAATTTGCATACCGCACCAACAGATCCACAGATGATGCACTCTCTATTGCACTCCACACTGCCCTTTCCCACCTGGACAAAAGGAACCCCTATGTGAGAATACTATTCATTGACTACAGCTCTGCATTCAACTTCATAGTGCCCTCAAAGCTCATCACAAAGCTAAGGACCCTGGGACTAAACACCTCCCTCTGCAACTGGATCCTGGACTTCCTGACGGGCCACCCCCAGGTGGTGAGGGTAGGTAACAACACATCTGCCACGCTGATCCTCAACACGGGGACCCCTTAGGGGTGCGTGCTCAGTCCTCTCCTGTACTCCCTGTTCACACATGACTGCATGGCCAGGCACGACTCCAGCGCCATCATTAAGTTTGCTGACGACACAACAATGGTAGGCCTGATCACCGACAACGAGGAGACAGCCTATAGGGAGGAGGTCAAAGACCTGGCCGTGTGATGCCAGGATAACAACCTCTCCCTCAATGTGATCAAGACAAAGGAGATGATTGTGGACTACAGGAAAAAGAACAGGCCCGAGCACGCCCCCATTCTCATCAGCAGGGCTGTAGTGGAGCAGGTTGAGAGGATCAAGTTCCTTGGTGTCCACATCACCAACAAACTATCATTGTCCAAACACACCAAGACAGTCGTGAAGAGTGCACGACAAAGCCTATTCCCCCTCAGGAGACCGAAAAGATTTGGCATGGGTCCTCAGATCCTCAAAAAGTTATACAGCTACACCATCGAGAGCATCCTGATTGGTTGCATCACTGCCTGGTATGGCAACTGCTCGGCCTCCGACCGCAAGGCACTAAAGAGGGTAGTGCGTTCGGCCCAGTACATCACTGGGGTCAAGCTTCCTGCCATCCAGGACCTCTATACAAGGCAGTGTCAGAGGAAGGCCCTAAAAATGGCCAAAGACTCCAGCCACCCTAGTCAGAGACTGTTCTCTCTGCTACCGCACGGCAAGCGGTACCGGAGCGCCAAGTCTAGGTTCAAAAGGCCTCTTAACAGCTTCTACCCCCAAGCCATAACACTCCTGAACAGCTAATCAAACGGCTACCCTGACTATTTGCATTGTCCCCCCCCCCCCACTCCCTCCTTTATGCTTCTGCTACTCTGTTTATCATCTATGCATTGTCACTTTAACTCTACCTACATGTACATACTACCTAAATTACCTTGACTAACCTGTGCCCCCGCACATTGACTCTGTACCGGTACACCTGTATATAGCCTCACTACTGTTATTTTACTGCTGCTCTTAAATTAATTATTTGTTATTTGTATTTTCTATTCATCTATTTTTACTTAACACTTATTTTTCTTAAAACTGCATTGTTGGTTAAGGGCTTGTAAGTAAGCATTTCACTGTAAGGTCTACATCTGTTGAATTCAGCGCATGTGACAAATTCAATTTGATTTGATTTGAATGAAGAGATGGAGACAAAACTGTCCAATTTGAGTGCTTTTTGCAGCTCGTTCCAGTCGCTAGCTGCAGCCAGGTGATCTAGTTACTGTATGGATTTCACAACAACATTTTTGCCAGCTAGATATCTATTAACTGTTAAGTCTAAAATGTGCTAAATGCTCTGCAGTTGTGCATTTGGTTTGCTAACTTAGTAGCTAGTTAGCTATCGAGCTAAGTGGTTAGCTTCTTCCAAAATCAAGCATTCGCTTGGTAACAGCAGAGAAACCCCTCCTGGATCAAGAGCCTTGCGGTCTAATATTTGTTTTGTGAGTGCAGCAAACGGTGAGTGGCATTTGAGTTACTTGTATAACTTTATGAGCTGGTATGTCTGTCCTGCAAATAGTTTAGAGACTGTATAAAATGTTTACAATGCCCTCGTTAGCATTTAGTTAGCATTTTTATTGGGATTTAACATGTACTTGTTAGCATTGCTAACCTTCGGATTACAGATGCTAAGTGGGGTTTGAAAATTGCGCCCCTTGTGTTCAGTGCCAATATTACCAAATATCCCAGAATGGCACAAGGTCGGTATGAAGGTATGACAATCTGGATACCGCCCAAGCCTAATGTGCGTGACCGGTATAGTAAGCATGTTTATGCAACAGCCGGCGCTAAGCCTATTAATAGCTAGGTCAGCTTTGATTATCAAGATCCTCAATTACCCCAACCCTCCTCTGACGCCCCCCTCCTGCCAATTACCCCAACCCTCCTCTGACGCCCCCCTCCTGCCAATTACCCCAACCCTCCTCTGACGC